GCTTTTTTCAAGATATATTGTACAAAAATAAAACTGTAAAATAAATACAAGGGAAAGAGTTATGGACATTCCTTTTCCTGATTTAAACGCTTTCGGAATATTTACGTTTAGTGAATTCAAGCTTTAATATGACATACTTAATATTTTTTCTTTGGTTCCAAAATACCCAAGTTTGTACGTGTAACTTGTCCGAAGCCGTCAATTTCCTTTTCGATCCACTTATGAGGTCCCTATTGTAAAGTTCAAATAAAAACCATATGAAATAAATGCTACGTAACTTAATCGGCTTAAAGAAAAACACACGACATGTTAATTGTATGAGCAATTAACACATTAATTTTCATTTATCATCATCATGAATAGCCTATTAATACCCTCACTGCAGGGGCTCAGGCCTTCCCTATGGATGGATGGAAAAGGGAGTATTGGCCAAAACCCCCTATGCGAGTCCAGTGCAGATCGGTGAGTATTAACGACTGCAGATATAGCCACGACCAATGGCTAAATATGCCTTTGCTATTTGGTCACCCATCCTATGACCGACCATTGCGTAAGTTGCTTAACAATCTTCCCACAGACCGAGCGCGCTAACCAGTACGCCATCGAGCTCCTCGAATTTCATTCGACCAGGGGGAATGAATACCGTAGAGTCAGAAATCTGCAATTTCTTTTAAAAGGCTTTATGCACGGCATAGAGCCTTTTAAAAGAAATTGCAGATTAATGGAAGGAAGCAGTGGAAGGAAGCTAATCTGCAATTTCTTTTAAAAGGCTTTATGCACGGCATAGAGCCTTTTAAAAGAAATTGCAGATTAGCTTCCGAATCGACGTTTCCCTCACAGTCGTCATCGAATTCTCGGCTGTTTTTATAGATCCATACTATAACAAACTTTGTACTTCTTAGACAAACTTTGTACCATATCTATACATACTATAACTATTTATAGTATGTATAGATATGGTCGCCTTATGGGATCACACTGAAGATAAGCTCATCAGGAGAGCCGATGTAACCTTTTCCATCTTTTTATTCAGTGTTACCGTTTTCTTGTACCTATGATAAAAAAGGAATTGTAAAAAATATTCGAGTATTAATGATAAAAAAAGGATATTTTAAAAGTATCTTAATATAAAAACACATATCATTTATGTGTTACACTCATCCATCCTTTAGTAAGGAAGAAAAATAAATAATGTGACAATTATATTGACAGAAAAGGAAAGATTCATATAGGTTTACATTTTTGTGCATAAATTTGACCTTGGAAATTTATTAATTTTTATGCCTTCATCAAAATATTTATACATTTTTTACCAAACTAAAACTAATTAAATCAACACATTAGAAATCAGCTTACCGTGACAACAAGTAATTATTTTTCAACATTGAAAATAGTTGTGGGCGTATTTTTATCTTATTATAAAGTTTTCGACTCGAATGATTAATAGGACACTGAAAGTCCGGGCAATTTGACTAATGCCTTGTCTGATAGAGCAAAAGTTCTCACTATTATCTAAGTTATATCGATTATATCGATATAACTTAGTTAATCTGTTATATCGATTTGCAAAATATCGTTTATTTATATTTTGCAGTTACTTTGTATTTTTCGAATTGTTTATAATAAATTCATAAATGACATGGCCGGATCGTGCCCAAAGAATCAAATAGAATAAACAATAGTTATCAATTTGTAAAAATATCATTTAAAATAAATTGAGATACCATAAATATACCATATAAATAGTACTTTTATTTTATATTAAAAGGTATTTAAATGTTTTAATGATTTTAGGTGTCGGCAAGCATCTGGTATATTTACATCGTAAACTTAGAATTTACATATAATGTAACACCTAGACATATTTTTACGTATATAGGTATACCTACTTCTTAAAATATCTAAATAATAGTTATTAAAGTATTAATTTTTGTAACATAGTTATGATGCCTCTCGCTTCTTTTTCAGATATATAATTTATGATATTGAAAATCCTAACATATAAGCTTTAATATAACCTACAGTATGTCAATATACATGAATATTTTTTTCGGCACAGCTTTAAGTATATTCCAGCCATGTCATTTGTATTATTATTTATATATTTAGTATACCTATAAAATTATCTTTCAATATAGTGAGATATAAAATGAAAATGACAAATGTTATAAAAGAGTCTAGAGCTATGTTTTGGTAATAAATTTTTAGATCGTTGTTGTGTTAAAAAGGGACGAAACGAATATTAACGTTATATCGACTTTTTAGCACATTATTACAGTTATAAATTTTATTTGTGAGTATCGAGTTATCCCCAAAAAAATATTATCAAAGGGCGTCTCAAAATATCTGAAATTTCGTTTATGGTGTAAAATAAGTGCTACATATTTTATTTATTGTTGTAAGGGGCTATGCAGTTCCCTGAGGAACTCTAGTCGCTGCGACCTTAAAGATCTATTGTGACTCCTAAATGCTACGTAACTCTAACGGCCGAAACAAAAACTCCACACGACACGGAAGTTGGGCTAGGGGATTACAACATTGATAAAATTGGGCGTGTGCCCTCCCCTCCCTTTTGTATCAACAGCCGAGCTTTAGCAAAAACAATAAAATATGGTCATAATGTTCACATTTTTATTCAATGACGTATCTAAAGTGAATTCAAATTTTTTGCTCTTTTGAAAACAATGCCCTTATGTATGTATATTACATTTAAAACCTGTATTTATACGCAATCAGACAAAAACAATCCACTTAAAAATATAGCAAAAACTAGTAAAACTTTATCGTTTAATATTCTTGTCACGAATTCAAACATTTTTATTTTAATACCGCAGACGTGTTAACAAAGCAGCCAATATCAAAAAAATTTTTTTTTTTTATTTATAATAATATCAGTTAATGCGTCGAATTAATTAATGTCTAAAATACAAATGGTCATTTATGTCTAAAAAAGAAACAAGTCATTTGGATTCATGTGACACTCGCAGCCGGTACGCTTGCAACTCATTATTGACTTTTCGATTACCTTATCGACAGACAGGCCTTCTCTGTTTCGCGGAAAATAAAATCGTCTATTTTCGAAACGCTAATATGACTCCAAAGAAACTCATTTTGGATGCAATAGAAGTAGGATCTGACGTTGCTTCCGTTGCACAGATAATCTTCACTTATATAATTTTAGAAATTTTCCGAAATTTTACGCACCGAGTTCAACGGTAAGTTATGAATAATCGTTAGTTTCTTAGCGGATGAATTTGACAGCTCGACATACTTGCTATTGCTATTTGATGATTGCTATTAATGTCGAGAGTGTATGCCCTGGTTAAACCCATTTTTGATATGGCTTATTATTTTGACATGATCTCTAGGTGTACAAGTCTGGGCCTAACCCGCCGTCTTGGTGATGTCATTATCTCAATATAATTGATAGCTTCGTAATCCAATTATAATCCAGCGCGAATCCACCACGGACATGCTCACAATTCTAATAGACTTGTGACGTCATATTTTTACGGCCATTATATGTCAACTCATCCATTTACTGTAGTTTATTTATTTAAATAGTGTGCACAACTTTCCCTGCCTAATTTATATATTTTAAATATGTTAATTAATGCACTATATCGATCACGAGAGAATTCATGGTTCGACTCGCATTTAAACTTTCTTATTTTTATTTATTTGTACATATACAAAACAAAGTTCCTGCTAGAGTGTACGGAGGTGCAATGAGATCTATTAAACGGCACAACGGAATTTAATGCTGAATTCATCAATATACAGAGTGATTTAAGAGTATGGTATATGTACAATATAGAACCCATTAGGCAAAGTCACTTCAGGAAACTAGAAAAAAATCACCAGTTCTGTTCCGACTAACCCATTATTACATATTATAAAGAAAAAAGATTTGATTATTAGTTCGTTTGCATTGCATAGGCACCGAAACTACAAAACCGATTTTAAAAATTCTTTCACCCACAGAAAGCAAAATCATACGCGGTTGACATGGGCTACAATTAAACACATAAAATATTAGCTGTTGTGGTAAAACAGCAAATATTTTATATGTTTATTTTTGTCATCGTCATCAAAATATCTATCACTCCAGTTCGATTCCAGTTTCATCTTAACATACCTAATTTGTAATTAATTTTCTTCTTTATTTAGTGATTAATTAACAACAGGAAATTGTGTATTAAATTAATTTACCGTAAGAGTAACTGTTACAAATTAAAAATGCCGTCCCCCAAATTAGTGGGGAAGGTAGGTCGGATACCTACGTAAAGATATAAATAGAATACTTAAAAAATCTCAGTGATATCTTCTTGCGACAAATAAAACTGGCAAGAAATGTTAAGTGTATATTACTTAATTAATACTTTCGCTTTTCAAATATTTGTTTTTTTACATCACCTATTTGCTGTATCTTATATTATTTTTCGAGATTTTTTAACACACATAGGTTTCATGTTTCTACAAATAAAAATCAACATTATTTTAAAATCCACTCAAATAATTACGTGCCCATTTATATTCTGCAATGCGTCTCTTTATACAATAAATCGTATAACGATTTATTTTCACTAATAACGAATCCAGTTTGTTAGACAACACAAGAATAATTAAGACTGAAATTCCTTTTGTTCCAACTAACAGTTACATTTTTAATAGGTATTGTTTTAGTTTGACCTGTATCGTTACAAAATTTCACCTACAAACTATTACAATTAGGCGCTATTAATAATCATAATTATCTAAGGCTAAAACGAGTGAATAGAATATTCATTTATTTATAAAATAAAACCGCAGCCGAGTGACTTTCAATTGCTGTGATTACAAATACGTAATTGAATTTATTAAAAATATATTTGACAGTGACGAAAAGCGTCCTTTAACTCGATCAATTTTTATATTTTTAATGCGTGTGTGCATAACCCCGCGTATGGTAGGAGTCAAACGGCGTTTGTTTATAAAGTGGAGGTGATTCTGAGGAATTTAGTGTAACTCCGCATTTCGTTGCCATCACGCTGTAAGGCAACACATAATAAGTACGTGGCCTATTTACTATGATGAGTGTTTGTTATCAAAAAGTGTGTGAACAGTGGAGCTAAATATTTTGGCTTGATAATCGGAAAATTGCAAAAGCTCTTCGTTTATGGAATTTTATTTTTTATAATTGAAGTAAACAGAAAAATCTCCTTTATTTATATTGCCATATGTAATTTAGATATTAAAAATAAAAGTAAACACCTAAAATGTTCGAATAGCACTAAAGGAGAGGATCTTGTCTTATGTTTTCTTTACAAGCTCATATACATTTTTTATAAGTTTATAAAATAGATTTTATTTATATTATTGAAAAACCCGAATCATATTAATTACTGCATTAAATTAAATATTCTTGTGGTTGAAATGGTCATATTTTGTTTATTGGAGGCCGCACAACTTTTTTGACACTCTGGTTTAAGGGAGGATTCTCACATTTACAGTAGGCTTCTGACACTTATTAAGCTAGATCAGCAGACAAAAGCAATAAAAAGAATAAAATAAGAAATTAAATTACTTCTCTTCTTTCTCAACTGTCCAGAAGTTTCGAAATTTTTCGTAGGTTAAATATCTAAAATAAAGTTGTTTTTTTTATTTCAAATGATGTTGTTATCTAGTAACATGATCAGCGTCGCCTCATCTTTATTTATTAAAATCTTAGTATCTTTTGCTTTTCTTATCTGTCAGACTTTTTAAAAACAGTGATGGAATTCAATATATAATATTTTCTGTGCTATTTCTTTTGCTCTCCATCTTTCAATATTTAGGTTTTCGCCTCCTCAGCAACATTCCTGTTCCGAATCACATTTGCGCCTTTGCAATAAGATTTTTTCTTAATATCAAGTTTGTATCTATATCTTTTCGATATTGTGGTGTACCAAACTAGTTTTCCTTGTAAATAAAGACATTAAAATTACTAATATTATAATTCTTTATTGTATACCAGTTGATTTAAATGTTTTTTACTAAACACTAAATAATCCTTGATTGGTTTTCTGACGTAGAAAATTTTAATTATTTTAAAACTTTACATATTTTATTATATAAAACAATTCCCAATGAGACATTATAGCTGTTATATATTTTATCTTATATATTTTTCAAAGTAATTATCGATATTCGTGTTACTAAATATTTAATAAATTCTTAACTCGTTTTTTTACCACATAAGTGAACAGTATAACTTCCAAAATGTAATTTCCGTGTTTCCATTAAATTACACAAGGAGCCCAAAAACACCTTATCATTCTTTTTTTATACGTTAAAGTGAAACTAAGCAATATCAAATTATGTTCATACAGGATGGCGTGGAAATTCTTTCTTCTTTGTCTGCCCTTCGCGTCTGCGGCAGTCAAGTTCCAGGAAATGTTTTCCTGGAACGCCCTGGATTGGAACTATCCCGATGAATACTCCAGACAGCATGCTATAAGCGCCGGTGCTTTGATTCCTGAGAATGCTCTACCCGTTGGTATTGAGAGATGGAGAAATAAACTCTTTGTCAGTGTACCAAGATGGCGTCCAGGTATGTCAGTTTATATGTTCAGGATAGTTAAATTACTAAGTCACCACCGCTATTATAGTCTCATGGTAATATAATTGACAGAGACATTCGGAAAACAAATATATTGAAGTACAGCCAATTAGTAACTAACTTTTTCTTTATAATAATAATATACTAATATTACAAAGACGAAATATTTGATTGTGTATATTTTTTTTTGCATTGAATATACTCCTATACACATTATCTACATCATATACAGGCGGGTGTCTCAGGCTATAAGTTACGCGCGGGAAATCTAATAATGAATCGGATATTAGTGTATCGATATTTTCGAGTAGTTGCTTTGTTAACTTAGTGTTATGTTAGATGCTGAGAAGTGCGCAATTTGTATTCAACCGTTTGGAAAATATAAACAATAAAAGAAATTAAGGAAAGAAATGTGAGACATTAGTAAAAATAATTAAGATGTAAAGCGTCGCATCCTGTATACTACAGGTACTGAAGCGGGTAGTTAACGCTCCCATATTTAAAAAAGAATCTGAAATTACTAGCTACGCTAACACTTACCCAGTGCACATTTTTTACCTACAAGAAAAAAGGTCTATACATCATTGTCCCAAACATGAACCGAGCACAGCTTAAATTTAACACAACCTGTTTTCCAGCGACATAATTATATAATAAATAACTATAGCGTATGTCATACGCTATGTTGTAGCTTCCAGAAATGAAAGAGTTTTGATGATCAGACCAAATTTTTTCGAAGATTTCCTTCTACAAACAAACAAAGTTAGAAACTTTACCTCTTTATAAGGTTGGCATAGATTGACATTGATAAATCTATAGCAAAATGCCATATACTATCCAATATAATCACAAAGTAAACATGCTATATAAATTAATATGAATATGATGATATATTTCAATTAACTTTATATCTACAAATTAAAATACAATACTAGTATTATTAATATGGGTGTTAGCAAAGGCCTAACGTTACATTAACTGTTTTTTTTATCAAACATGTGCGTCAAATGGCTTTGACGTAGACAAAAACAGTTAAATTATATTTGTGAAGATCCCTCCTCGCAATTATAATTTTACATGGTATACCAATTGAATTGTTAATGTCTTACCTTACCGGTTCTACAAGTAGACTCACACGAGTTGTGGTTTTTATCCAAAATATTTATGCGAGAAACAGGAAAAGATTCCCTGAAAGCAAAATAGTTGTACTCTTAATGATACAATGACAACTAAGTAGTAAAGTTGTTAAAATATATATATATATCCTGGACGGCTTTTGTAATGATTTAATAAAAAAATGTCTTATATATTTAGTTAAAATTATGGCTAAAAATTGGCAGAAATGACCCGAACGACCGATGATGATTGTATATCAAAAGCATTTTTTTATTAAATCATCACAAAAGCCGTCCAAGATATCATCCAGACAGCATTGCATATCAAAAGGATTGCATAAATATAAGTGATAGCTGTTTTCCCTTTACTTCATGCGCGTAAGTTATAGCCTATATCACCCCGCATAATGTAGTTACCGTAGATATTTTTTTTTAAATCAGTGCAATAGTTTCGTAGTGTATCCAATACAAAGAAACAATTAAATCTTTTCTCTTTATGATATTAATATAGATTATAAGTGAGAAAAGATAAGACAATTAATATTGAAATATAATAACAGGGCTTCAGCCTTCTTTAAAGACCACCAGCAGGTCGAATCGTTTAGTCCGATATAAACAACCTTAAGATAACAAATTTAACGTTGAAGTAGGCCAATTTAGTTGAAGAATGCTTACTATGATGATTTGCTTTTCACTCCAATTTTATATTTTGGTCATAAATATTTGAATTCTGCATAAGTGAAATACCAGACAATATAAATACACCATGAACAACAAATCCAAGGACTATATTTCTGCCTTATAATGTTTAAATCAAGCATTCGAAAATCTTTGTAATTAAATTTAAATGCTTAATCCGGATTTTATTTATCTATTTGTTAATAAATAATAAGTGGCACAGTGGCATAGTGGATAAGCGCCCGGGCCCGCGATCGATCTAGTTAAGCAATTTCCACTGGATGGCTAACCAAAAATTTTGAAATTAGAAAGGCACGTTAAGACTTTGCTCCCGGCTGCATTTACAACCGTTAATACCCTCCAATCCGCATTGGGCCAACGTGTAGGCTCATGGCCCGTCCTCCTTAACCATCCATAAGGAAGGCCTGAGCCCCAGCAGTGGGGACGTAAAAGGCCTGATGATGATGAATTAATATTTAAAATACTTTAATATTCATTCGGGGTCCAAAATGTCAATAGAAGAATATACAAACGCAGTGAAACCGTTTAAAAGTTGTTTCATTTATGTTTTAAAATATAAGAAATCAATATTTATAGGTAGAGTATATTCGTCTTCGACATGAAATATATAGTTTCGTTTCGCCCGAAGGTTTTAGTGATTGAAATTGCAAAGCCCATACGGAGTCACGGACACAATCGACCATGTCAAAACCTCAAGTTTTAAGCCCACGGAAATACGTCCGTTATTACAGTACCGTATATAAGCTTCGACCTAGTATAGTATAATATATGCAGAAAGATATATACGAAACTCAATGGTCATTACGCAATCATTTAAACCTGTCGTATTAAATTATAACAGTGTTGTCAAAAACTAATACAGAATTACTATAACAACCGCAGAAAACCGGAATGTTACACACATGCAAGAAAGTCAAGGGGCGTGGTACATATATTTACACAACATTGACCTCTCAAAAGTGGAGGTTCTGATCCATGTTATGACCGAAAATGACAATGACCTTTCTATTTTTTAAGCTAACTCGAGTGAAGCTCAACGATTCCTTATAAATAGTCATCATCATCAGGGGCTCAGGCCTTCTTTGTGGATGGTTAAGGAGGATGGGCCACGACTCTCAATATGGATTGGAAGGTATTAACAATTGCAAATGGAGCCGGATCTAAAGGTCACCCATCTCGTGACTGACCCTTATGAGAGTGTACGCCGCTAGTAAGCTAAGAAGTGGGATCTGACACTGCCTCTGGTGCACTGATAATGCTTAGAGATAATTATCACATTAACAAAATTATAAGAACGTTTTGAAAATTTCCGAAATTTCATTCGCAAGCAAACAAAGTAGACCCTCCTAAATAATGGACCAACCTAACATTTCTTTGTTGTTTTCTATTTTCCATGTTAAACAGAGATTGTTCACTTTTGTTCAATATAACTCCTAGAATGTAAATCTCTCTCTCTCCCTCTCTCTAAAGTTATCGACAAAACAGAAGATTAACTTCTTTGAAATTATTCTGTTTCAAAATTCATCACCATGAAAATATACTAGACAGACTAATCGTGCTCGGAATAGTAATCTGAGAAATGTTTAATATAAATATAACATCACACTATATTTTTCTTGTCAATGTATTGCTAATGATGTAAAATAATCGCATTTTGATAGATTTCTGGCATTATTAATCTCATTTTACATAACTACTATAATTTGTCTACTTATTATGCTGATATATGCCTGCCACAACCGCTAATACCATCGCACAGGTAATACAAACTCCATAATTGACATGAATACGTAATCTAGTTACACCCTAATCTTCGAAAGTGCTGATTCTGATTGAAACACTTATAAGATTATCGTTCATGCATAACGTCATAAGCATCATCATGATTATTTGAAATCTAGCTTATATTATGCAAATTACACAAGCACAACACCACTATGATGAGTAGTAATCTATTATAAAACATCAATTATTTAAGTTTTCGTGACTACAAACTTTTCTCTTGAATGGAAACAATTCAGCGAGAACATCCCTTGTGCCATAAAAAATCGTTGTCTTTATTAACCCGATCGGTAATCGGATCCGGGACCAAAGAGGTGACACTTTGAAACATTCAGTTCACTCGGCCACGGAGGTTATCAATTGTTGGAGGAAAGAACAGAACACAAAAAGGGATCCTATAAGGGTCTTTTTAGAAGTAGACTTCCAAAAGAAACATACATACTATGCAAATATCATTATCCAAAAAATATTTATTGAACATCAACACTTTCGTTTCGCGTTCACCAAATTTGGTTTTAACACGATTATGTCTTCAAAATGACCATAATTAATCACCGTATAAGTGGTGCACGTGAGGTGAGGCATCTAATTATTCCAAATTTATTACGTTTCACAAGTATATGACTTATATAACATACTTTTATTCGTTCGTTTGCCTTAGTTATTAAGAAACCTAATTGATACAAATTTATTTGATTTTCATTGTCTAAAAATCAAAGAATTCACGAACAATTCAAAATAAAAGCCTAAAAGCTTGTTACCAGCCGTGTCCCTAGATATTGAAACTTCTATCTAAAAACTTTACAGTAAGAACTACAATTTAATTTAGTTAGAGGATACTGTAATAGTTAATATATACCTGGGCAATTTATTATTTACCAAAGTACATATTCAGAGACATCATATACATTTAAAATTTTTCTTTGCACTTTCCTCTCCTAACCGTAAAAATACGACCCGATTTCATAGAAAGTTAAAAGTTAAAACAAGAGTGATAGCAAAATCTGAAACATTGATAAGAAATTTACATGAGTTTTCACTAACCTAGAGCAAGGAATAGCTTAACTAGGTAACGCCTAATCTTATTAATCGTCGAAAAACATGTTTATTTTAGCCCTTGACACATTTTTGACATGTCATATTACGAAAATACTATAGTTTTAGAAATTGCTTGATGTTGTTATGTGGTTCCTGATAATTTGCGAAATGCATTTTCACTGTTGAATCGCCTAAATATTTAGGCAACAGATTTTAGCGAACCCATTAGTTTAGTGAATACGGGCATTAGAGAAGAAAATTAGCATATCAAGTTCTCAATTTTAGCTAAAGGTTAGGTAATTATGATCGGGAAAGATGAGAGCAGGTAGCGCATTCCAGTCTTGAATAGTTCTCATGGAAACTGCCAAATGGTTGTCAAGCTTTAATTGTATGAGATCAAATAAAACATATTTAACCGATTAGAATGAAAGCAACTATTATTAAGTCAAAAATTTTAAATTAATTTTGTAGATTAAGGTCATTAATAACGATACCGAGTAACTCAATGACCAACATGTGGTCATGAAATGGTAATCGCTTACGAAATTCTTAGGCAATTATACATAAATAAATTTTAAACAACAGATGGTAGTTACTATATAACATTAGGCTCCATTAATATCAAGGATATCTTATTTAACGTAATGTTATGATAGTTTCCGTGTGTTTAGAGGTTGAACTAGCAATAATTAATAAAAGCGTGGAAAGTTCGTCTGAGGAAATGTAAAGTTAATATATTTTACGAAAAGGCGGAAGGAAGCTTTCTTTGTAGATGACCAGTTCATTGAAAAATTCTAACGTTTTAAGAAAACTCCTCCCACAATATTGTATTTAAAAAAACCTGCAGGCAAAAACGCAATGTCAATCTCAGTTTCAATCCAATATAATGACTAATTCAATTTTCGTCAAATCGTAAATAGCACTCTTAAAATAAAATTTTTAAGTATTGCAATTGAATTCGAATATAGAAAACATAAACATAACCGTAAAGCTCGTATATGTAGACGGCCTCTACATGTGACAATCGTACTTATTAATCCAAGCCCATAAAGTAATAAAACGGATGCGGATTATAGCAAATTCAGTATCATTCAATTACCATTCAACATTAACACAATTGACACTAGAACTCTAGATATATTAGATGTAGGCTCGTCTTGAAATAGTTCATTCGATAAATAAATGTTTGTTTATTACTTTTCCAGGTATACCTGCCACTTTGAATTACATCCCACTTGATGCACCATACGATCCATCTCCGAAACTAAACCCCTACCCAAGCTGGCAAGGCAATGAGTTGGGTAATTGCGACAGTGGACTCACAACTGCTTACAGGATCAAAGCGGATAAGTGCGATCGACTATGGGTATTAGATGTAGGCACATATGGATACGGTAAGGAAATTCACTAAACTTTTGCGAACTATTTTAACAAATTAGGTTATATTAATGAATCCATTATATAGTTTAATTGGTATAGTATAATAATAATTATTATTGTTAAATAATAGATTATCTACTCCAATTTGCAATACTGAAATTAATGAAATATTTTATAGTATAATAAGACAATCATGGAACACAAGTTAATTGATCAATTGTTATATATATATCAATAACTTTAATATATCCATTTTTTTTCCAGATCCCAACGTGACTAATCTCTGCCCTTATACTTTGAATGTTTATGATTTAAATACCGATCAACGCATACGTAAATATGTATTCCGTCCCGAAGATATAGTTCCGACAACGTTCATTGCTAATATTGCTATAGATATGGGAGCAAGTTGCGATGATACTTTCGCTTACTTCTCCGACGAACTTGGATACGGACTTATAGCATACTCTTGGGAACAAAATAAATCTTGGAGATTCAGCCATAGCTTCTTTATGCCTGACCCCCTTGTAGGAGATTTCAATATTGCAGGCCTTAACTTTCAGTGGTTTGCCGAAGGAATTTTCGGTATTACTCTTTCTCCTATCGGGATAGACGGATACAGAACTCTTTATTTTACTCCATTATCAAGTCATACTGAATTCGCTGTTTCCACCAAAATTTTAAGAGATGAAACTAAGGTCGAGGGTTCTTTTAAAGATTTCAAAATAGTTGGAGTTCGAGGACCCGACAGCCATACAACATCCAAAGTAATGGATGACTCTGGTGTACAATTATTCAATCTGATAGACCAAAATGCTATCGGGTGCTGGAGTAGTACATTGCCATTTAAACCACAGAATATCGGTGTTATAGACAAAGATGATGTCGGCATGGTTTTCCCCTGCGACATTAAAATTGATGATGATAAGAACGTTTGGATGATCTCTGATAGAATGCCTGTTTTCCTCGAAGCTGAATTAGACTACAGCGATATAAACTTTAGAATCTATACCGCACCATTAAATACTCTTCTAGAGGGAACTGTGTGTGAACCACAAAAACAATTTCTACCTACAACCAAAGCCCAGAACTTGAAACAAAACTCGCAATTAATAACATATACTCCGTCACTCACTTCTGTTACAATGCCACCTCTTCCACAAACCCAATACACGCCCAATGTATTGCCACGATTATCCCATGTATCATCATCATCATATCCGTCATCACCTTCTTCATCATATCCATCATCAGCATCTTCATCATATCCGACATCGTCATCATCCTTTCCATACGTAACTAAAAATACTATTCCGAAATCAGAGAGCTATGTTAATTTACAATTTACGAAAGAAACATCGATACCTTATTATACGAGCAGAGCTCAACCTGAAACGACACCAAGGAACAATTATTGGTGGTACAAAGACTACCATAAAAACAACTACTAATTGTTTCCAAGAAAAGCTATTATTGGGCTATGAAAAAATAAATCTAGAAAGTACGAGTATTAGTTTTATACCCTCATCGTTTATTAATTTTACAATAATATGTGTGCATGTTACTGAGTAAGAATGGTGTAGACATATTTTATAGTATGAGCTATGAAAGTTATTAAGTACTTAATATGTATGTGTATAATATAAGTACTTCGTACAGTTACTTACTTTAAATATTTACATTTTGCATTGCATGAGTCGTTTCCTAAGTTACTCTTTTGATTCATGTTGATTTGTGTAATGTATGATGAACGTTTATCTTAATGAATAAATAAAAATGTTTTGAAATGGACGTGTTATTATTTATTTCAGTTTCGTACAGTTTGTAATGTTGGCAAGTTTCTAGTAGAACATTGAAAACGTCTTCTACTGGGTCCGCTCTAACAATCTGGGGTTGTCTCTTATCTTAATTTTATGAGGAAAGCACTTACCCCCGGTTTCAATTACCAAAAAACTATCCGTTTTTGCTACCATCCATAGCATTTCCAACCGATAGTAGCAAAAAAGTGTTTAAATAACATACCACTGGTAGGTAAAGCTACCGACGGTGTGCTACTATCGGATTGAGCTGATACTGATAACCGTTCGTAGGCAAAATGTATGAAAATGGCGCAAAAAGGTGTTTCAATAAAAAAATCTATACATCGGTAGAGCTGTCAAATTTACTATCCGTAGCTTATCTGTAAAACTTGCCTACAATACAATGGTTATCGTAAAAATATTTATAAATGACACGTTTTCCCTTGTTAATTAATAGAAAAATGAGTTACTCATTAGAAAATTAATATTGTAGAAGAGTTTAATGTGTTTTGTGGTTCCCATTAGAAGAATTTAAGTTGTAATCATGACAATGTTTGTACTTTTAAGGGCTCATACTACCAATAAATCATTGCTCTAGATGCTTTCTACAATATGTTTCTGTTGAAAAACTTGAAACTGAATTTGCCACCTACTTGTACCAAACTTAAACACGTTACATTAGTTGATACCCTTTATTTTTTATTAAATAATGATATTTAATTAATTCCTAATAAAATCCAATTTCGATATAACATTTTTATTTTACAAATAAAAAACAATTTATGAAAAACTACATAATTTCTACACTATTCCATTGCATTTTTCTACGTTTGTTTTAGGATTTGATACAATTATTCCACTTTTTCTAATAACCATTCATTTATCATCGTATGTCAATAGATCACAATTGTTCACTGTCAATTTCATTAATTTTATCTTGCAAATTCATTATGTAGTAACTAATATATACAAATCACTTTATACAATCAAAAATTTATAATAAAGGTGAACTCTATATAAACACTTCATACCCATGCACCGTACCATTTCAATGAACTCAATTCGGGATAAAAAAAAACTTATATAAACAAATTATGTTATTTCAGGGGGTTTTATTTTTGCAAATAATAATACGGATATAAGATGTATAGTCTTATTTTTAATCGACTTTAACGAAAGGAAGGTTTCTGATTCAAGTGTAACAAATTCTGTATAACAGTGTGGGGATAAAAATGTCAGATTTGTTGACATCAGCCTATAGGAATTTAATTACTTTTTCAATTTTAAGTATTATGAATTGTAAATCAATATCGGATAAAATACTTGTACAGTAGGTCGTCCTTTAGTCGCCCAGATTGCTAAAGGTTTTTCAAGACTGCGGAGATAAACCCCTCCATTAACCGCTTCTGTAATTTCTACTTCCGTTTCAATTAAAAAAATCGTATAGCAAAATTCGCTTGACCGAAGAAATAGGACAACAATCATAGGGCGACCTATGGTCGCTTCACATCAGTTCAACCCGAGAGCCGCTTCCTTCGCCAACTGGTCTGCCCTCTCGTTGTCAATTACATGAACGTGGGCCCTAATTCAATATACAATAAATTCATACTCCTAACTCCTTACTCTTTAAGCTAGTTTAGGTTGCTTGAGTCGCCAATATTAGAGGACGGACCTTGACTCGCTTATCATGTTAGTCTCCTTCCACTCTTTATTCGCCAAGTTAGACACACTCTTATAGATAAGTAGTATTAGTATTAGATAAAAGTTATAAAGCAAAGAAATTATGGGAGCAATCAGGCTAAGGCCAAATTATTAATTATGTATACTACGAGTATATGAGCTTTTGATGGTATTCAAAAACGTGACCATATTAGATTGGGGAAAAAGTCTTTTCGCAGTTTAAATTTTAAAGAAGATAAGTCCGAATTCAATTAGAAAATATATGTGATTTTAATTTGTTTTTCTTAATGTCATAATGAAAGAATGTAATGAAGAAATACGATACATTTTAAAATTTTATTACAAAAAAGGTAAAAAGCAACGCAAACCGCGAAAAATTTGTGACGTTTATGGACCTAGTGCAGTTTTGGTGAGAGTAGCACAAATTTAATCGAAGCATTTTCAATCCGGAAATTTTGATGTCAAAGCTGAACGTAGTTCCGGTCGCCCTATTCCGGATTAAATGGATGCCATTTTTGAAAAAGTGGAGCAAGATCGGCATATCAGTAGTTACGATGTAGCTGAAGAACTGGGGATTACAGAGTTGGATATTTGGTTACCTCACGAGTTCAGTGAAAGAAACCTTATGAACTGTGTACTCATTTGTGATTCTTTATAACGGCGTAATGAAACCGAAGCATTTTTTAAGAAGCTGATAACTGGTGATGAGATGTTGATCACGTACGATAAGAATGTGAGAAAGAGGGCGTGGTCAAAGGTCGGTTAGGCTTTGGCGAAACCCAGGTTAATTCGCGCGTGACGGTGATACTGTGTGTATGGTAAGGACTGGTAAGGCATTATTCATTATGAGCTATTACCGCCAGCCAGGACCATCGATTCATAATTCTACTGTGACCTACTGATGAGATTATAGCAAGAAGTTGAGAAAAAGCGGACAGACTAAATCAATAGAAGGGGTGTGGTTTTTCATCATGATGACGCTAGACCTCACACATATTTTGCCACTCAACAAAAATTAAAAGAGTTTCCCAGCCAAACTCTTAATTCAACTGTCGCACAGTCCTGAACTTGCACCTTCAGATTTCTACCTGTTTCAGTCTCTTCAGAATTGTTTAGGCGGTGTCAGGTCAACATCAAAGGAGGGCTGCCAAAACCACTAGTCGTTTTTTGATCGGAAGCCAAAAAATGTATTAAATATGGGATCATGTTTCTACCTATAAGATGGCAAAAAATTATCGAACTAATTGTTACCTACTAAAAAAAAACTTAGAACAAGCTGTAGATGGAGATGATTCTCATCTCGCATGTTTGAAGATCCCCAGGAGAGGTTTTTATGAATAGGTAATTATATAAATAGCTAAATTCTTAACACCACCGTTTGAGATGACTTTGCTTTAACCCATGAGATTTGCTCCAGTCTCTAATGAGAGTAGGATCCTTTTACGTCCCCGCTGCAGGGGCTCAGGCCTTCCTTATGAATGGTTAAGGAGGATGGGCCTTGGATTTACGTTGGCCCAATGTGTATTGGAGGATATTAATGTCTGCAAACGCAGCTAAGATCCACGGCTTAAAGTGCCTCCCGAAGCACGGAGTAGCTCGAGATATTATTTAATTAGTCACCATGAACAAATTGTCTGCTGAGATATCAAAAAAAAAAGTTAATAAAATATATTGACGATCTTCTTTTTACAGAGCAAGAACAAGTTGATGGGCTTTGGAAAGAAGGCGTAAATAAATAAGTCTTATATCGGAAAGGAACGAAGGATGGATTTTTTTTTTGGAAATGTGAAATCCTTCGCATTCTTCGACGGAGAAGGGAATATATCGGTATATAATGATAGTGACTACGTTGTAGAGGATGGGAAAAGCATATTACTTTGCTTTGGGAAAAGCAACTTCTTATGCTTTGCAGATTATTGAAAATATCATTTTTTATCATCACCGTCAGAAAATTTAGAGACTGAACAGCAAGAAATTGTGAGTTGGAAGCAAAGAAAGATAATCTTATCGAAATCATGAATGAAATAAAAATGTGCATCAATCTAGTTTTTCGAAATCTTCAAGCCATACTTGTCACGATTATTAAATACTAGGAAATATTAAGATGTTATGAAGAAAACAATTTCCACGTTATTTAAATCTTATTTATCATAGTATTATTGACATAAAACTTAAGCGATTATTATAGCACATACTGCTGGATAATAGCTCCGTTGATTAAACATATCATTAATAGTACTCTTATTTTGCCACACCTCAATAGCATATCAAAGTTTCAACTCCATTTCAGAACTAATACCAAACCCTTTAAATAACTCATATTTGTTCTAATTATTTAAAGTAGACATAAGTAGACATCTTATCATGATATGAAAAACTATTTACTTCAATTCGCGAAACCAAACAATTATCACGCTTCTATTAGTATGGCTTGGAGAAACATTATATTTGAAATTAAATGAAAAACAGTAGTGTACGTTTTCAGTCGTAAAACCTTATATAGGTTTATGGGCTACACGAACATATATCACTGTAAAACAAAAATTATATACATAATTACTCAACAACAGATCCCAAATTGGCCTTTGCTGTGCTAGTTTTGTTAGAGTGACAAATTCATGTGAGCGTGTGAACCATTGTGGCAGAGTCAGAGCAAACCTCAAGCAAAATGAACGGTGTCGAAAAAGTGCCTGAAGAAATTTACAACCCCTTTCAACATCGAAAAGTTGAAAAACCTAACTCGTAAGTATATATTATAAATGTTGTATACATACTTTTCAGAAAAAAATTGGTATTAAACGAACACAAATACTCGTAGTATAAAGTTTATTTCGCCAAATAAAATTAATAAAATATTTATTATATAAACTAAAAGAAGTCACAGTGTATTATTATCGTGTTTTATTTAATCTTTTAATAATATAATTACAAAAAACTTCGTAATACAATGGCGTTTGGAAACTTGGATAATAGAAGGCAAGTATCATTTTTAGATCATAACATTTAGTCAAAAACTTTTGAAGATATTTCAGTACACAAAGATATTTCTGTCTTATAAACACTTAAGTTCCCGCTATAAATTCATTAAGGTTGGAAAAGTTATATTTTAAGTCGATTAGCTAAAAACAATTATTAATTTATAAATACATAAACGTTTTGGCTAATTTATGACGCATTATTATTGCTACATATTTATCAATTGCTCGATATCTACTAGTCTATTAGATAATTTTATAAATTTAATAATTAACTGTATTAATTTATTTCAGAGATATAAGGTCAACAGCAAATTTAATAAAAGCATCTCTAGGGTCGGGACTACTCGCTGGCCCGTTAGCTTTTGCAAATGCAGGTTGGGGTGTAGGTATAATAGGCACAATTATAATAGGAATAATTTGCGGACATTGCATCCATATATTGGTAAGTGAATATTTGATTATAATCTATCAGCAACGAGGATGTGTACTTAATAGCCAAAAATCTATTGGAAACAAATATTCCTTTATTGACTAATGCAATTTAATTTACTTCGTGGATATTAAAAGACTTAACTAACGATGAAAGTTAATCAATAACAAAACTCTTTTAAAAAACGTGTAGTTTTCAGATCACCTACTTCCTATATCCAAACTATATTTTGTATGATATTACTGAAAATTTAATAGATTATTTCATTATTATAACGAGTATGATGGAGATAAACATCTGCCTTCGTATGAGCACTTACAACCGAAGTATTAGGTTCCTTAGAATGTATAAGATTTGTATAATTATTTAACTGTAGTTTTTTATAATTAACCACTTTACTAAAAGATACCAATAATTATAATTCTAATATCGCACGCATTTAGTGATACCTAGCTATAGTACATAATATATGCTACACATAACGAACCTATTGATATCGAATTAGAATGACTTATTTTTGTTTAAAAAATGTTAATAAGTTATTTTTAACACAAATTCGTGAAGGATATGGAAAAGAACATTTATATATTCTATTTGGTTCCAAATGTATGAAAATACATCGTTAGTTCAGTACTAATTTTAACCATTATCATGATAATTAGCTTAAAATCACTCAATGGACTTCGCTATTGGGTAATGAATTGAGTTTGAGTGGTGTAATTGTAAATATGCAGATTTTCTTACCACAACCGAAAATTTGTCTTTTTTTATGTTACAGTCAACATCACGAAAAGCTACTCGAATCATTTAAATTGATCCGCTTGTTTTTAATCCTCAATGCATTGTATTGTAGGTGGAGTTCAAAATCAACTTAAAATGAATTGTAATAAATACAGCCCAGAACTCGAGGTCGAGCAAAGCACTGTCTCAGTATAGAGGTTCAATCGAATAAAACCTTTATTTCCTTTTGAAACCAACTTCTTTGCAATTAACTCTTAAAGTGGTATGAATGTGTGAGCTTTATAGAGCATTTTTTTTTTAGGTAAAAACTTCAAGAGGTTGCTGTATAATAGAAAAGAAACCATCTCTTGGCTACGCTGAAACGTGCAAATCCGCCTTTCAAAATGGACCGAAACAATTCAGACGCTACGCAAACGTTGCAAGGTAAATATACTACGTAAATGAAATAAATACAAAAACTAGTAAATAATTTTAGATAAATTTTCAATTACAATGCTATAATGCTATAACATTTTTCTTTGTTTAAACAATATTATTCAGTCTCATGCCAATATATTAAAAATCAAAGCTGAAGATATGTTTTAAAAAGCTAAAGCACTTTAAAAGTCGTATCTTAATTCTTATAGTTTTAAAATGGTATAGGAATTAACTTAATGTTTAAATCCAACATAGTAGCAAAGTTCAATAAAAACAACATAAATTTTCCAGCACCTTATCATATTTATAGAGATATATTTTTCAGTGTGTTTGCGGAATTCTCTCTCCTGTCGACATATGTGGGTGTTTGTTGTATCTACACTGTACTAATATCTGACTCAGTCAAACAGGTTTGTTCTAATACAATTATAATTCGATTAAAAACAAGACCGATAATTCTAAACCTCTAAGTAAAAAAAAGTACGTGGCCTGATTGTCATATATTTTTAGCTCAAGCATTGAAATGTGCTTGTCATTTTTCAAACATTAAAGAAATTTATTCCGTTGTACTTACGTACTAACAGTATCGTTTCTCTTAGTCCATAAGAATACTACTTGACCATAAGGACTAATAATGTAGTTGACTCATAATGAACTAATAATGTATTTATTTTAAGAACGACGAATATCTCAATCTAGTAAAAAAAAAACTGTAAAAGATCTGAAACATTTGAAAATTTTTGAAGTATTCATAAAATCGCAATAAGATTGCTTAAATAAATGTTGTTCAATCGAACGATTCAGATAGTTGAACACAAATATCAGTATAATACACGCCAAAATAAAGTAAAAAAAAAAGACATCGAAAGTTAAGTAACTCATTACTGTCGAATAACTATTATTTTTTTCCACAAGATTTCTTCCCATATTATACCTCGTATTATAAGATACCTTATATAATTAAAGCTATGTTGTTATATATTTTTTCTGTTTTCAGTTAGTGGACCGCTACTTTCCATATTCAATAATGCCCGTTGAATATTATTGTTTAATAATATTAGTACCACTGTGCATATTATGTCAAATAAAATACTTGAAATGGTTAGCTGTATTCTCTATATTAGCCAATGTTTTATTAGTGGCAACATATCTCGTATGCCTTTACTACATATTCAAAGACAGCGTCACTTTCGCTGATAAGAAAGCAATCGGTAATCCTGCAAGATATCCAGCTTTTATATCGTAAGTATTTAAAAAACGAAAGTATATAAAATATTGCTTCTGTGCTGAAATCCGTTACTTAGTATCTGGATTTGAATTTACATCACTTTCGAATGTTTCGAACTTTATAGTACCTATTCTATCGAACTCATTGCGTATTGAATATCTCTATTATTTTTGCACACTTCAAAATTATTATTATTACATTACAAAATATAAGCTGTTTTTCTGCGACTTAGAACGCGCGAATTATAGCCTATCTCACCCTCATTTAATGTAGCACCCTGTAGATGAAAGAGTTTTATAATTGATCCAGTAGTTTCGGAGCCTAATGAATGCAAACAAACAATCAAATATTTCCTTTTTAGAATATGAGTAAATATAGAATAGATTAGTTGAGATTTGTTTAACGGAAAACACGAAAATTATATACCTGCACCTGAATATCTTTTCTATTTCTATTGTCTTCGTTCATGCATGTGTTAACATGAGTGCCTTAGTTTTTTAAAATGTCAATGTTCTATTTATATCTTTTATAGTCGAATATAATTTCAGCACCGTAATATTTGCAATGGAAGGCATAGGCGTCGTTATGCCTGTGGAAAATGAAATGAAAAAGCCGAAGAATTTCCTCGGGTGTCCTAGTGTCCTGGTGGTAGCTATGACTGTTATAGTATTCTTGTATTCCACTTTGGGCCTTTTCGGCTACTTCAAATATGGGGACGTTCTTAGAGGTTCAATTACCTTGAATCTACCTATAGATGACTGGTAAGATGTTATAAATAAGTATATATTAAAAAACATAATTCAATATCACCCTATACACATATCTAAATCTGTTTTCTTAAATCTTTTGGATGATTATCTATTCGAGAATGATGAATGTATTTATTGCATTTGTATTAATTGGTAATTTTACCTTGTTTTTTTTGGTATTTTAAATTGGTAATATTAATTAATTTATTAATTTTATCGTTTCAGGCCTGCGGTTTGCGCCAAAATATTTATAGTGTTAAGCATTTTTTTCACATATCCACTGCAATTTTTCGTGGTAATAGATATATTTACAAAATACACAGCGCCTTATGTCAAAGAGAAATATGGCTTGACGATACAAACCATTGCTAGGACCGTCGGCGTTTGTTGCTGTGGTACGTTCAGTAGGTTTACTCTATTTTGAATAAAATAAATGTCGGGTTTCTAAGAAACTGGCCTAAGAGACTACTAGTACAGATCTAGTGCATGAAATCAAACAGGGGAACGGTCCATAACCAACCACGCGTCGCCATAGCGGGTGGGAGGGAGTTAACACGTTTTACACCCATCCTATAACCAATCCTAGCGAACAACAGCCAACCTCTGATCGAAAGATAGAAACGTGCTATGTAACTGTAAAGTTCCTTAAAAATAAATATTAGTAAATTACATGAAAACCTTTTAATACACGCAATGTAGGCGATTTTTGTGGATGTTATCAGAATTATTATTTATTTCTTCGTCCTATTTTTTTGTTTCTTTACCATTAATAAAATAATTAGATTGCACTATCTAATCTCATAAGCAATGCCACTGGTGAAATGTAAAGTGCAACGAATGACGCCAGAGTGACGTTGAATAATAAATTGAAATTGCCTTTGCAACTAACATACATTCCTACTTCAAGAACGCGTCATGGGTTGCCAACATTATCTTTTAATTAATTACCTACTTCTATATTAATGTATATGAAGACAAAAGTTTAGACTTCAATTTCAATATTCTGCTATATCTTAGTACTTACTTATCTCAAAGGAGGAGGTTATATGTTCGACAGCGATGAAAGTTTTTTTATGTGTATTATATAAATTTCACGAAATTATGATTAGTACTCTTTCTATAAGCCTGCGTAAAAGTAATTATCTCTCGTTCGTCATTAAATATACTAAATTAAGTTTCTATAAATGAAACAAGTAAAACTGACTTCAAAAAATATATTAATGACAATTACACCTTACATAAGTAAGGAGAGCTAATCCTCGCCCGACTTTAAGAGTTTATTGATATAAAATACTTTCAAGTTATTAAGTATGTTTCAATTTTATTTTAACATTCGCAGACTTTTTATAGAATATTATAATTCTTCTAATGTATATAGTAATAAATTTCCAGTTGGTATCGGTATTGCTTTACCACTTCTGGAGCAAATCATCAACATCGTGGGAGCATTCTTCTATTCTATTCTGGGTCTTATAATTCCTGGGATCATAGAAACCGTCTTCAGATGGGACAATCTTGGCAAATACAACTGGATCCTATGGAAAAACGCATTTATCGTCACATTTGGCCTGGGAAGTTTGATATCTGGTTGCACAGTTACTATCATGGATATCATTGAAATTTTACACAGTAAAACTGAATAAAAATATCTTAACCAATGCTACCTAAATACTCAAGTATTACAAGGTTACGAAAGAACAAAGACTTTTATAATTATAAAGTAACTAATTAAGATAAGATGCTATTTATATATTCAAAGTAGCACGGATTATAATTTTATAAACGAGTATTATACGCAAATCAGATGTAAAAGACTTACCAAGATAGGTACAAAAATATGTATAGTTTATGATTATTGTTGAGATACTTTATTTAATAAAACATATCTTTTTAAATTGCATCAATTGCCTATTTAATTTTATTGTGATTTTCTCCAAATCTCTTTTTAGAAAACTAGTGACCCAGACTAGCTTCACCGCTTTCTATCCAACATTGAAAACCACATAGTATTACGTTATTCAAGAGGACTTACAAATCTAAAGCTGGTATTAATATATACTTAGCATGGGACTGATTACATTAGAGCCTCGTCTCGCGTATCAAGGAGTCACGCAGCGTGGACGTTATATCCAGCCCGCGCCGCGTTGCGCCACGGTCGCTTAAGTAATATTATTGATATATTTCTTTGACACGCGGTACGGGGCTAGTATAAATAACCACTCCCATCCTAATTTAATGGAATTAAACCGCCCTGAGCGGAGCGAGATATGAATAATTGACACTTAATTACTGCTTAAAAGACAATGACAGAGATACAGAGCGATCCATTGAAGTGAAATCTGTATTCTTTATGGAAATGGAACTCTTGCTTATATTAAAAATTTTATTAAACCAATATACGGAGTGTAAGTTGAAGCTTGCCGATTTTTCGCTAGCAGGATGTAGGCATTTCTATGATTGGCCTAATATACGATTTTGTTCTATGGGTATTAACCTCCAAAATACCGAAGTCTCATTCCGTCAAAATAATAGCGCCATAGTCGTTTATATTAATAAATATGTCGAGTTTCGTTCCAAATAAAGAGCATTTGCGGCATTCGTTGCTTTTCTTATTTCATCAAAAGAAAAAAGCAGCTGCAGCACATCGTTTGCTAGTAGAAACTTATGGTGAACATGCTCCAGTGGGGTGTGAGACATGGTTTCGTAAATTTATAAGTGGTGATTTCGATTTGAAAGACAATGAACATCTTAGTGCAGCGAAAAGGTTTGAAGACGAGGATTTGCAGATGTTTTTGGATGAAGACCCAACCCAATCACAACAAAAATTGGTAGAAACACTTAATGTGTCCCGAGTAGCAATTTGCCAACGTTTACAAGTCATGGGAAAGATCCAGAAGTATGGAAAATGGGTGCCACACGACAGGCAAATGGAAAATCGAAAAACCATTTGTGAAATGCTGCTTCAACTGGTCGAGAGGAAGTCTTTTTTGCATCGGGTTGTCACGGGAGATTTATTACGAGAACCCGAAGCGAAAAAAATCATGGCTTTCATCTGGTGAAGCCGGCCCATTTACTGTAAAGCCCAATCGCTTTGGCCGTAAGACAATGCTCTATGTTTGGTTGCAACATGACAACGCGCCGTCTTATGCCGCTAAACCCATGAAGGACACATTAAAATCACACCCACCATACTCTCCAGACCTCGCTCCGTCCGACTTCCACCTTTTCGCATCGATGGGGCACTCACTTGCAGAGCAGCACTTCGCCAATTTTGAGTAAGTTGAAAAATGGCTCGTCGATTGGTTTTCCTCGTAAGAGAAAAATTTTTTTGGGAATGGTATACATAATTTGCCTAAAAGGTGGGCGAAATGTGTAGAATCAAATGGTCAATATTTTGAGATTCCCCTAAAAATTATGTGTTTTCCTTAACGAAAAAACCGGCAAATTTCCACTTACATTCCTATGTACAAACAAAGTTAGCAGTAATTTTTTTTTTGTATGAGAGAAAGTAAAGAAAATCTGTTAAATTTTTATTTGCAAGACCCTTACCTTCTTGATTATGAAAATTATGTTGACCTCGTGGCCAAGTTGCTTGCACGCCCGTTTTCAGGGTGCCATCTTTCAGGTCCTAAGTTTAATTGCTAGTCGGGTCAATGTATAAAATGATATTTTCTATATTGTTCGTATATTATGATACCTTCACTATATCAGATTTCTATTCAAAATATTTATTTGCTTACTTTCTCTATTCAGTTAACAATAATTAACATGCAAAAGTATCAAATTTCACAAATGTGTTTACATTGTAATAACATTTTTGTATTAGCCAGTCATTAGACTAACAGGTGCATTCTTAAATTGTTCAGGAAACCTACAGGTGCTAAAAGCTGCTGAGTACTGAGCAGTGTATGTAATATCATCAAATTTAGGGTCGCTTAATTTACATAAAAAACATGTTACGTACTAAACGTTATTTTTTTTTTTTTATTCAATCTGACTAATGGTTTGGAGCCGGTGAGACTTGACCTTACCCTGGTTCTACATCCTGCAACTTTCACATTGTATATCATGTAATTATTTCTACATATCCGAATTAATGAGCTTATTAGTTGCTAAGTAACTATGTTTCAGTTCATATCTCTTTTCTATTTTGATGACTAATTAAAATGTTATATGATTAGCCTAAGAATTAGAGAATAAAATTAATTTAAATTGTAATGGTAAATGGTATGTTATTCAAAGATTCTTCTTCTTTACCGTACCTGTCTGTTTCTCTAAAATAGGTTGGTAAGTTCCCAACACGAAAGTAAACGTGTTCACTAATACCACAATGTATTCAAGAAAATACATCTACCTAATCTACACAAAAGACTCGCATTTTGAGTTTACATTCTTACTTAATATAGTACAAAGAGGTACTGAACCGATTAAAAAAAATTCCAACACCTACAAAAAACTGCGTCATACGCGAATAAGTTGCAGATAGTTAAGAATAAAATTAACCAGATTGTTATCTGATTTTATCTAAACTTGAAACTTATTCGCTACATCTCCTGATAAGGGGATTAAGGTCTTGTAGTGCCTTGAGTTTAACATGTTAACTACTTTAGTTCATTACATACTCTAAAACTAAATGCTTTGGTTTTATAATGTTGTGAACACAAAAACTAAATTAAAATTGTGGCTTGGTCAATGAGTGTCTAAATATCGGTTTTCAAACAAATGGCAAATAGTTAGCTTACAACTATGGAGAAAACAGATACTAAGACAAAGGTGGAAGATGTTTATAATCCATTTCAACATCGACAAGTACAGAAACCCAACTCGTAAGTGACTTTAAAGTAGTATAATACTTAATAACTATGTAATTGCATGACATCAAATACTCAGCATTGCTCAGATTCCAGGATGAGTAGCTAAAGCCCCCGTATTATGAAGTGTCTAAGACAACGAAGGTTCCAGATCCGAGACAATATAGAAATGTTTAAATTATCTACAATGACTCGACTCGGGAGTAGAACCCGGGACCTCAACGATGGTGACACTTTGAAACCGGCGTGTAAACCAATTTACTACGGAGGTCGTCGTATGATCATGAAATAAAATCAAATTTAAGAGGGCGTCTGATTATATTACGTTAGCACTTTCAACATTATCTGCATCATTATTTTTAACAGTGGAGTCGTTTAACTTAAATGTTTTTGTTAATTTTATTATATAACCGTTATTAAAATTATAAGATACGTTTACCTTTTGTTGCAGCGATTTCAGATCCCTGGCTAATCTTATTAAGTCGTCATTAGGATCAGGAATTTTGGCAATACCACTTGCCTTCGCCAACGCAGGATGGGCAGTGGGTCTAGTGGGCACAATCGTTATCACTTTCATATGTGGACATTGTGTACATATCTTTGTAAGTTTCTGCTGATAAATATACATTTTTGGATTATCTTATACGCTAACCTGAAAGTTAAATATAATCGTTAACATGACAAACCTCCACTGTTTGTGAGCTTTATGCTGTTGCGGGAACCATAGACTAGATGAAATATTGAAATTATTGTAAAAAATTGCAACAATTGAAAACTCACAATAACTAACATTCCGGAATAGAAATTATTCTCCCAATTTATTGATAAATACATGTGCTTAATACTCATAAATGCGATAGGATAATTTCATTCCAAATAAAGATTTAATAACTGTTACATATTATCAGAATCTCTAATAATGTTATATTGGTAGCTAGGTGCTAAGTGAACTAAAATTAAAACCTAATGTTTATATTTTTCATTACTAAAGTGTATTTGTCGCTTCAACTTCCTATAATGTATCATTATTCATCAATCCATCATAACATCGGTTATCGCCTGTCATGGCACACTATCATAAGTACACCACTATCGGCGCCGATTTCGAATTGAGAAAAGCACAAAATCTCAACTGATTATTCTCAATAACTTAAGTTTTTTGCGTTTCAAAATGCAAAAAGTCCTAATTTTATCCAATAGCTGTCAACTGATCATTACAAAATTATAAATCAGTAATGAAAACCTGATTAATTGACGTTTAAAATGGCTTAAGCTTCTTATACTTTTTACACTTTTCAGGTAGAAACATCAAGAGCGTGCTGTCGTATAGAAAGGAAACCATTACTAGGCTACGCAGAAACCTGCAAAGCCGCATTTGCAAACGGTCCAAAGCCTACCAGAAAATTTGCAAATGCCGCCAGGTATACACATATGTAAACAATATTAATAAATTAATATACATACTAGTTAGAATATTACTATATAATATCTATGATATCATGTGTAAGTTGAAGTTGAAAACAACAGATAAAAAAGCTTTTTATGAGAGATTAAGTTGCAAGTAGTAATCAAACTAGTATGTTTGAACAAAACACATTCAATTTTTTAAATAATTAAATAGAAATAAAAAGATAATTTACTAGACCATAATACTACTTATAAAACATAAACAAAGGAAAAAAAAACTCAAAATGATTTTAGGTCAAATAACAGAAAGAAAATCAAGGTAAATGATACACGTGTATAGAGATCACAATGTCATTCATCAATCACAATTTGCTGTAATATAAAATATATAGCTCTATAATTAGTAGATCATAAAGAGACATAAAAACACGATCTCTCATCAAATATTCTAATGACTAATGTAAAAGACATTTCTGATGAATTAAGAATGTTGTGATAGTTGTAAATTGCTTTCGTTGTAGGTAATATTTGAACATTATGTGATTCGATTTCTAAAAGGAAAGGCATTTATTGGTCGCAATATTAAAGGTATTTTAAGGTACATCGTTGAACTATTATATATCAGTATTTTTGAAGTTAGTAGTTTATAGTGAAGAAAAAACGTTGTCACTGTAAGAAAGACACGTTGTTACTCTTTACAAGACGGTTTGTGCACTTATTATATTTTTTCTGTATGTCAACGGATACTGACATTATTGATTTAGGGGTTAAAGTATGAAATTGCCGTTTTATTGTAATAGGTTCCTTGAATTGACTTAGAATCTTCATGGTTTGAGGTTTTCGAAAGAAACACTTTTGAAATAGTTTCTATGATATTCTCCTTTTTAAAAAAATGTGAAGCATTTCAATATCGACTTTCAATTGTTTTTGTTATTCAACTTAGACAAGAAAGATGGATACTGCGAAAATTCGAGTGATTTTTGAATACGAGTTCCGACGCGGAAGTAACGCGGCAGAAACAGTCCGCAATATCAATGTTGCGTTTGAAGAGGGTTCGATTTCGGTTTAAACGCTTTCGTGATAGAAACTTCAACTTGAAGAACGACCCACGAGGAAGACCCTTCACACAGGGGAATAACGATGAATTAAGAGAGATGGTGGAAGCCGATCCTAGTGAAACTACCCAGAAATTAGCGGCATGGTTTAACGTTACCTTACTTGTTACCTGACCTGAACGTTACCTGACTCATTTGCGTCAAATCAATAAAAAAAATACGAAAAATGAGTGCGTCATGATTTGACTGATCTGCAGAAAGAAACGCGTATTGAAACTTGTGTTGCCTTGTTGAATCGGTACAGAAATGAAGGAATGTTGGATCGAATTGTGGCATGTGGTGAAAAGTGGATTCTTTATGATAACCATAAAAGAAAAATGCAATGGCTGACCCCAGGTCAAACGCCACAACAAAACTTACCAATAAAAAGATAATGGTAACTGTTTGATGGTCTCAGCATGGTGTTATTCACTATAGTTTTCTCCGATCTGCTCAAGTAATAACTGTAGGTAAAACTAGCGGTATAACAGCCCCGACTCATGAATTGATCTTCACCGTTATTGCTTCGTGACAACGAGAGACCTCATACAGCCGTTTTGACCCTTCAGGAACTGCAGTTAGAAACCATTCGTCATCCTCCGTATTCGCCAGACCTTGCTCCAACAGACTACCATTTTTTTCGTGATTTGGACAATTATCTACGTGACAAGAAGTTTTCTTCCCAGGAAAGCAGTACAAAATGCTTTCACACAGTTTGTGCAGTCTAGATCCTCAGAGTTTTATCGCAAAGGCAAAAATTACCTTCCTATTAGATGGCAGCAATATATAGACAATAATAGTAACTATTTTGATTTGATAAATTTGTTAAAAATTTAAAAATAAACAATTTTGATTTTCTGTATAAATCGTCTATTTCATACTTTGGTAAACCCCTATTATTGACCATAATTTAATTTAGTTTTACCTATTCTTTTATATTATTCATCACGACCGAGTTTAAAATGTTAATTTTTACTTAATTTATGTGCTTTATTATTAATATTAAATATTAAATTAATAAAATAAAGCAATATTATATTGCTTTTCATAAGTTTTCATTAGGGTACGCGCCCACTGGTAACTTTTTCACTGTGACTTTTTATTTACCGACACCGTGCTCCAAAATTCTAATGATGGCATGCGCCTATGAATATCTAATCATTAGGTGTCTTCCAAATGACAGCAGCCGTGCGATTTAGTAAACGTATTTCGGACATCAGAAAGCTGAATCAGCGGTGAAGTTTAAATTTTGTATCTGTAAAACTCGAAAACGCCGCTTTGAATTGAACTAAGACAAGTGAGAAGACAGTAGCTCGGTGGTGTATTGGATAAGCGCCGCGGCCCGCGATCGTTGTCGTTATGCAACTTTCGCAAAGGTCGGTCACGGGATGGGTGACCAAAAATTATTATCTCGAGCTACTCCGTGCTTCGGAATGCACGTTAAGCCGTTGGTCCCGGCTGCATTTGCAGTCGATAATACCCTGCAAACCGCATTGGGCCAGCGTGGCCCATCCTCCTTAACCATCCATAAGGAAAGCCTGAGCCCCTGCAGTGGGAACGTAAAGGGCACTTTAAAGTACAGCCAAAGGAAGATTTTCAAATTGTTTTTGGTCATTAATGAAACCAATTCTTAATCACAAACTTCATAAATAAATTTAACTTTATAAATAGCAATGAACAATTTAAAATTCTTTATGTCACTGTACTACTATTAAGTTGATAAAATGAAGTTACGATAGTATACCGAAGGTAAAATAATAGGCGATAATCTATCTACATGTATTTGCTATTTACAGGGTATTTGCAGAGTTTGCTCTTTTCTCCACATACATAGGTGTTTGCTGCATTTTCACAGTACTCATTGCGGATTCCGTTAAACAGGTATCTATAATACTAAGCTGTATTGCATCATAAGAGCAATTAAAGTTACTTTTTATAACAATAAGTGTCAAACTGACTTTAAAAAATGACCGTGGAACGCGTTGTAACATCTTCTTTCTTGACATAGTAACACAATAACTTTATCTAGCGAAAAATGGGTGGGTGTAGTTAACAGTTAAAGTTATGACGTCATCTCATCATTGACAAACGATGAAAGTCATTATTTTTATTAGCTGTTATTCAACATGTTTTTTATTGAAAAAGTAATTTAGAGCAACCGACCCTTATAGGCTTATTACGATTACCTACAGCTGGTTATTAAATTTATTTATTATAAGTTATTAATCATTTCATCGGAATATAGACATTCAAAATCTAAACCGGGACTTTGCAAATAATATTGTGTTAGTACTCGTATGTTTTATAACAGAAAAAACCGCTTGATATACATCCAGTTGCACAAACATCCATTAAAATCGTCATGAGTTTGTATGGCCTTACCCCATACAAATTTGACATACATTAGAGCTGAAAGGCCTCATTAAACATTAATGGACGTTTGTGCAATTAACCGTTAATATATCATCTGTAACACTCGAGTTATGCCTGTACTGTTATAATAGTGCGATTTTAGGCATTATCTTTACAAAGTACAGTAACAAGAAAAAAAACAAAATAAAGTAACATTGAAGAAATACCAATGAAATAGAGATACCAACTAAATCCAACAAAATAAATTTTAAAGAGTCTACTATGTAAACCTTACCTTATCCCAACAGTATAAAAAACGTGATTTAAATTTTTATTTACAATGCTCAGATAACGAATTTAATTACCACTAAAATAGGTTTATGATCTTTTTTAAGAGTACAGTAGATCATAATACAAACGTAATAAAAGTCAGTGTATTTAAACGTGTTTTAGGTATGCGCACCTACTATGTTTATGACGCAACGAATTAACAAGAAGACTGTTAAAATAGCCCTTTAACAGATTTTCAGATACATTATAATTAGATAACATCAATATAATTAATCAGATCTTGTCTGATCATAATCTGAAATAATGATAGCACAGCGCGAGAGAGAAAAAACTATGTCTTTGATAATTTTCTACACCAACTCAGTTGAAATTTTAAACCTTGCCTTAACGAGTCAGCCAATCGAATGAGAAGATCACGATTAAATTGGTGTATACCATATTAATAAATTATTTTATGCTCTTTGTTTTTAGCTCTTCGATACGTACTACCCTTTTGCCATATTGCCTGTGGAATACTATTGCCTTATATTCTTGGTTCCAATTTGCGTGATGTGTCAAATTAGGCACTTGAAGTATCTAGCACCGTTCTCTCTGCTAGCGAACATCATGCTGATGACAACTTTTATAATATGCCTCTATTACATATTTGAAGGAGAAATCTCGTATATTGATAAAAGAGTTATAGGAAATCCTGCAAGATTTCCCGCCTTTCTTTCGTAAGTAAACTTAAGGTGTAAAGAATATTTACACCATTTTTACTTCACGGGCAGTTGCACAAACGACCGTTAAAGTTTAATTTCGACTTTGAGCTCTAATTAATGTTTTAAATTATTATATTTGATCAATGTTGCATTCCCAAGGCTATACTGAAAAATATCCTTAATGAAAAATGCTTAAAAAATCCAATTTGTCCCTGGCACCCTGAGATGGGATTCGAATCCATGACCTCTGGCAATCCGGGCGACTTCTTTAGTGTAACAGTGTCAGAAACAAAGTGGATTTAAGATTTAAGTATTTTTCATTAAGCATAATGTTTTAAAGGTAGAAAATTGTATAGGTAATAATGCATAAGGTCATTTTTAATGGACATTTGTGTAACGCAATGTAAGTAACTTTATTCGAGTACACTGCAAGGTTTTGTTATAAAAATGTATGTTATAATTTTTTTATAGAATTGAAATTATTTTTATTATGGAAGTGCAAAATGTACATATGTTACGCTCAGAGATCGAAAACGCATATTGAGCGGAAAAATAGTTCACAACGCGTTGTTGAAATAAAGAAAAGCCACGACGCGTTCTGAGCATTAATTGGTTTAACTAGCTGTTTCATTTTACAATAGCAATTCAAGTATGTAAGGATCGTACATTGTGGCGTCAAGATATATATAGGTCACGATTTCATCATATTATATTTAAAATTACAAATACGTTAAGCATTAAGCGTGATTTCAATATTTTTGCATCAGAAAGGGCATTTATACAATTTCTACGGGATGAAAAATATTTTATAAGGTCATCTACCGTAACATTTGCGACAAGTAGGATTCAAATCACGAAGCACAGTGCGTCTTAATTATACATATATGATTTCAAACTGGGGGTGGGCGATACGAATCGATTTGAAACGTATATTATATCAATATCGTTATTTCCGTTATCGATACGCACATAAACTATATATTTTTTGAAACACTATATTGCTGCATCGATGCGATACGTCGGATTCGATATCTGCTGGATATCCGATATTTATAGATTTGAAATCGTATCGCATCGTAATAGAACTGAAATATTGTTAGGATTAGCGTATTCGAGTTAAGGTTGTTTCCTCATACTTTCCTGTGTATTTTGACACCCTTTTTTAATAGACTTCATTTTGTGAAGAATACAAAGTATACGAAAAGAGCAAGCTTGTGAATAAGCATACTAGTTAATCGCACGCCGGTTTATATACCCGTACTAAATTAGCAAGTGTGAAGCTGCTTTTTTTTGCTATTTATTTGCGATTGTTTTCATTTTTTGCTATTTATTATTTTCTGCTATTTCAATTAGTTTTGCTATTTATTTGCAATTGTTTTCACGATGGCTTGAAGTTACCGAATAGAGATCGATTCACAAATATATAGTTTTATAAAAATATATAATTTCATAAAATATATAGTTTCCGAATCCGATATTGAATATCGATATAAAGTTTCGGATCGATATTGTGAAAATCTGATATTGCCCACCGCTATTCCAAACGCTTCATGGCTTTTCTTTATTGCCACAATGCATTGAGATCGAATAGCATGTCAGCCACAACACGAATTTCGTTATGATTGCCTCAACGCGTTGTAAGCATTTTTATTAGAGCAAAAACACGAATTTTGCGTTATAGCTGTTTTACTGTGACCACAACGCGTTGTAAGCTATTTTCCCGCTCAATATGCGGTTTCGGTCTTTGAACGTAACAGATATTATAAAATTTCTTCATTGCCTTATGTCAACTAAGTAAATAAAATTTAATATTTTTGATAACGGTCTGGAGAAAAATAAAAACATGTTATCATTATTTCAGCACAATAATCTTCGCAATCGAAGGAATAGGTGTAGTGATGCCAGTTGAGAATACAATGAAGAAACCTGAACATTTCCTCGGTTGCCCGAGCGTTCTGGTCGTCGCTATGACTTTTATTATGACACTGTACAGTATCCTTGGCCTCTTCGGTTACTTCAAATATGGAGACGTACTAAGAGCTTCAATTACCCTAAATTTGCCCCTTGACCACTGGTAAGTAGGATCATCATAATATTCAAATACTTTAATAAATAATAAAGCTTAACTAATTTAGATCCAAGTTGACAGAACTGACGAGCAAAAAGATTACTAATCTAAGTCACAATATCTTTCGACATATCGAATAAAACCCATAGGTATACCCATAAACTTGAATGAAATAAAACAGGGAGAAAATAGCAGCCCTTGCTGAGTTTCTTGCCGGTTCTTCTCAGAACATGGTCTCCCGCTGTAGATTTGCGAACTGAAGCATAGTATTCGATATTCACGAACACACTTGTAACTGAATATATGATTTAAATTAATTTTAATTTATCTGTATAACCCCAGAAGTTTTGCTTGTCAGTTTATTTAGAGTCTAATCAATAAATATTTCGAAAAAAGAAACTCAGCTTTTAATTAAAGAAGTTATCTGTAATCTGGACTTCATTGAGTTTAAAAGCATTCAAAGACTACTGACGACTTCATTTGCTTTTTTTTTATTTCAATCAGAGCAGGTGCCTGTTACAACAGAATTAATTATCTCAGTTAATACCTCAATATTTATATTTAAGTAGAATTGAATTTGAAGAAAAGAAATATATATACATAGAAACGTTTGATTATTTTGTTATTTGTCCACTTAAATTTCTGCCACAAACAAAGTTATTATTTTCTTCACAGGCCAGCAATTTGTGCCAAATGTTTCATCTCCCTTTCAATATTATTTACATATCCACTACATTTTTACGTGGTTATTGACATGTTCACGAGATATACGACGCCACATATCCAGGAAAAATATCAGAATATCACTCAGATACTCGCTCGGATTGCAATAGTATGTTTTTGCGGTTAGTATATTTACATATTTTATTACAAACGGTTACAACCTGTCACTATTTGAAGCATTGGGTGACTATGATTTCTGTATGCGTTGAATTATCCAAAAATGAAGCTTTATGTAAACTTGTTTTACAGTAGAAAGCTCCGATCGATTGTTATGAATAAAAACATATTCAGATGTCCATGCACATAAATATAAATGTTTGACATTCTTAATTTAAATAATAGTAATTGATATTAAAAGAAAGAGACGACTGTCTTATAAATACTTATTTATAAGATAGCTGTGTCTACATATCTGCGACACTATGATACATTTACGTTTAGAACTCTAAAAAAATACGCCTCGTTCTTGTGGATGTCGAAGCCATGACCCCATTACCGTTCCGTGTCCAGGTTATTTAGCCAAGGGCACCGCCCAATGAACCAAGAGACAAATTAGACAATTTAAATACATAAAATAATATTTATTATTAGTTTATCGTCAATAAAGCAGCTGTGAAAGCTTATAAAAAGAAATTATATCCCTAAGAATACAGATATCTATAAATTATATACTCATTACAATGTCTAAACAGTAAATTTGTCTGCTTATTAAATTTATAATATATAATATGTATGCATGTTTTTAAAAATCGCATGTCACAATGTATATCATTAATAAACTCCGAAAATACTGAACCGATTTTAATAAAACTTTACATGCTTCTGTAAGCTGGTCTAACTTAAAAGGTATGGTATTATTTGCCTCATCGATAAGCAAAATAAACAATTAATTAAACCTAATAAAATCAATGAGCTATAGCAGCGCGTGGCTCGGTCAGCTAGTCTATATTATTTAATTAACAGACCAGAATCCAAAACGGGGAGGAGCATGTTTTTTTATGTATGTTCAACGATATTTCCGCCAATTGTTGAACAATTTCAAAAATATTTTTTTATTCGACAGCTTAATGGACCTAGTTCCCATTTAAATTTTATCGAAATCTTATCGAAATTTTATAAAAAACAAAATACGCATTTTATGATTTATTTTTAATTGCAGGTGGTATTGGCATCGCTCTACCCATGCTAGAGCAAATTATCAACATAGTTGGTGCTCTCTTTTACTCCATATTGGGTCTCATTATTCCCGGCATAGTCGAAACTATATTTCGCTGGGAAAACCTAGGAAGATTTAACTGGATTATGTGGAAAAATATGTTTATTATTCTGTTTGGGATTTGTAGCTTGTTATCCGGTTGTGCTGTGACAATTTCTGATATAATCATAAAATTAAAAGAGAGAACTAGTTAAAAATTAATCCTTCATTACTATAATTATTTCTTAAATATTATTGAACAATATAATATGTATTTTATTGTCCAGTTTGTTGGTAGCTAAGTGACAATCTCTTATGATTAAATTGACCATATATTTATATATAGGATAAAACATAGTCTGTCTCTAGTCTGTCTCTTCAATCCCATAACGGATTTTAAATCAGTGGTGGTATTAAGTCTAAATATGTACATTTTGATTTTACATAGTTTGCATTGACTTTGGAGCTTTACATAAAAATTAATTATTAAGAGATTTAAATAAGTCACATAATATTTCATTCCAAAACGCATGTGTATCTTTAAGAGACTGGCGTATTTAAAATGTATTCTGCGTATTATATCATAGTTTAGGATAATATTAAAACAGTTTAAAATTGACAAATATATTGTTTGTTATTTTATTCAATGACATTTCCGCTACCCTGAACAATTTCATGAGCCAAATGCGCACTTGTTAAAATTATCTATACTGCACGCTGGATTTCTTGCGGAATAGTCAGAATGGACCGAGCGCCACCACACATGACACGGTCATTAGTATTTCGTTTCCTTGACATTCAGACGCGCATCTTGTAATAAATACGCAGACAACGTTTGTTACTCGACTGTTTTACTCGCATGCTTGCTCTAAACACCCAATTAGAGTTAACATCACGTAATATTGATTCCAATGCTTACAATATTAGCACCAGAATCAGCACCATGTTTTGTATAGGGAACGGCGTTTCTAGGATTTACAACTAAGACGATTTCACAACAGTTCATTTGTACTGTTCTCTATACACTGTCTTTGTCATCGGAGTTCACACCTCCTAAAAGCATAGGCAAAATATACAATTTCCTTTGCTTACTCCATAATTAAGTATATCGTGAAGTCTTTACACTAATCTATCTATTATATTTTTCGAATGCCATTTCTTTCTTTCTTTAGATTCTTCGATTTTCACGCACGGAGCATTTACTTACCTTCTTAATAATCATCTCTCACTTTTTGACTATGAACTTTAGGATGACTCTGATATTAATTTATAAATGATTTTAACTTAAACTTAATCCTATACCTTTAGGTTGGTACTTAAACATATATTTATTTTGCATTTAGTAAGGAAATTAAAACATTCAACAGGCGTAATACACTTCCATCTACAACAAGTACCATAAAGTTAGCTAGTTTTGAAAATAGATATGTAATAACATTATATTCAAATTCATTCATATATTCAATGCAGTTACAAAAATATTGCTCTCAAAATAATTGATTACCCAATAATATATTAACTACGCACAAAAAGAGCGTCAGAAACACTAGCTAAATAAAAAATATTTAAGTAAAATGATGTCATAACTATTTTCGTCGTTTTCAAAATGTAATTTAACATTAAAAAACAAATTATTTTTAAAACCTCCTCAGTCATTAACAGTCTTGTCTTCCATAAGTAAGCGTAGGAGGACTAATGAAAATAAAAATAGAGCAATTCTGCTGCAACATAATTATTGTAATGTAACAAATTACTTATTTTAACTGAATAGGTACATTTGAAATAGGTACTTTGGAATTTTTTAATAAGTATTTTTAGTGATTTATTATACAGGCTTTATTACATTTTATTAATAAAAATATTTTTTCTAACACCATGTTTAGTTTTTTGGTACTTTTTGACTTAAACAAGGACATCTGCACCAACAATTATCGATTAACGTCTATTTCAAATTATAAAATTAAATAAATAAATGTGAGTTCAAAATGTTGATTTTAGTTAATTTCGACTGGTCTAAGCATGAGCCAAAGTTAAAATCACGTAGAAGTCCGGCTCGCCTATTTATAAAGACGCCTCGTTGTCGTATGTGCCAAATTCTTGGATTCTTACACTGTTACCATCACCAAATGGTTAGAAGAATGTATTTGTTTATTAAATTGTTTGAATGCGACGGTATATTACCTATGGTATCACGATTCTTTATGACAACAAAATAATGTTTATAGTTAACTAACTTTAATGTTTCTCATGTTATATAGATACTACCTAGAAACGTTTCTTATAAAATTTTGCTTGATTTTGCAAACCCTTTTGACCGGATGGCAAATTGAATGGCACAATCAGAATTCGCTTTTTGAAATAACTAAATATATCTAATAAATCGAAAAATTTAAATGTTCGTAGTTTGATACGATGTCTTCATGCGATAGACTTCTCACTGTAACAAAAGCTTTTACGTCACTTATGAGAGTATTATAAGGCCCGTAGAATTTTTGCACAGCACCAACACAATACTATGGCCTTACTTCATTTGACTTGCTACAAGGATTAACACTTAACCCAGACGACAAATCGAAAGTACATGCACATACAATACCTATTTACATCTAATCAGTTAGCCCTGAGAACAAAATTTACCACTGACCAAATTATGTAGTAAACGTAATTCGCTAGCATTCAGCAATTTTTCTACATCCGTGCATCAACTGACTTTACACTTACATTACCCCGTAACTATACTTCACTTATTATTATATTTCATTAATTTTGCATTATAATGTTACTAATGTTATTGTAAATGATACGACCGCTTGTTTTTAGCACACCGACATTTAATAATTTTATTTTATAATCTATTTTAATACATACAAATACAAAAAGAATAGTTATATTCCAAAAAGTATAGTTATATAAAATCAAAGAGTATAATAAACCTAGTATCAAAAGCTATTTACATATAAGAGCACAGTTAATCGTGAACAGTTTATGTTGTATGCAAAGATGAAGGAGATGCTTGAAAAAAATTACCAGTTCCAAATTGATCGCAATATAATAAGCACTAAGCAGTTCGAAAAAATGTATATGTCTACGTTATTTCATACAGATGATGCAAATATTTTCTAACATTAACTACCTACTTAACAAAATGATATATTTTTGCACATTTGGCCCACTCTTACGGCAAAATATAAGATATATTATCACAACATGACATAGTAAAATATATAACAGTAAATTAGACGCGCATATATGGAACGTTATGTCTTTGGAATGTATGGAGCCATAGTCGATTTTTTTGTCTCGACACATTGAAAGTAAAATTTCGCTAGTATTTCTCGGCTTGAAACATACTGATCATTTTATACTACTACAGACGTAGGTTTTTCATACATGATCATTGAGTGTTTAGACGCGCGACGCGAAACATGTCACACGTAAGAAAAACAAAGTTTAAAAAATTATTACAATAAAAATCTCAGTCAATTATAATCTAATGTTCAGTGCTATTCATTTGTAATTATATTTCTGTTGATATAATAAAACTGTGATAATGACGGACAATTTCAATATGAAGGAATTTAGTTCAACGTGAGTATACGCTTCTTCGCAGAAAATGAATTTTTAATTACCTGTAGCTAAATCAAAACTTCTGATAAGAGTTTTAAAGTCAATACGTTTTATTAATATGCAGTTTAAATAATAAGCGTTGTTCTTTCTTGTCTTTAAAGATTTTTTTTTAATAATGAAAACATCAACACCCAAATACTGCCTCGTAATAATATGAATAGAATGTAACAAAATGAATAGATTCCATTATCATAGCATTTATAAATCTATCGAGTATAAAACAACGTCGCTTCCCTCTGTCTATACGTTGAGATCTTTTAAACTAGATAACAAATTTTAATCCGGTTTTCATAAATATATGGAGTGATTCAAGAGGTTCATATGTATCATATAGGAGCACGCGGCCGAAACCGCCACGGAAAGCTAGTAAGATGTAAATATGCGATAAAAGATCTGCAGAATTTAAAAGTTGCTTTCGTGAAGTCAATGCCAAGTTTTGGCACAATTCACCAGAACTAGGCCAATTGGAGATAAATATCTTACATTATTTTTTTCTTTTAAAACTAGCAATAAAAAATAGTTACAAAAAAACACTTTATGAATAATATACCATAAGATATATAGACATACCTATCTAGGTAAGATACCCACTTTACATTTGAACCAAACTTAATATTATGGACCAAACAACTCTAACTTTTTCAAAACACTTCAACAGTATTGCAGCGTGTCATTTTTTCTAGTAATATTTAATAGAACAATTCTTTTTCACCTATTGTATCAATGGATATAAAATAACGTAATCTCGCGCAATCGCTAATCATAATAGATACTCCCTATTTATAGAGTCCTACTTACAACTGCAATAAAACTATTCCCAGTCAACGTAGGCGTGTCAACATAGCGACTATCGAGACGCCAACATTTATTCAGAATGCATTGGTAATTCATGCATTTCATTTTTGACATATTTATGAAGGCCATGCGACATACTTGTATGTAATTAATGAACGTTTACACAAGACAATCTTATTGTATTCACAAAACCAAGTTTATTTTAAATTAAAATAGTGTTTTTATTCTTGCACGTGAAGTCTTAAAGAATTTCATTATGATTTTACACTGTAATATGTCAGTAATACACGATCGTTTAACACTCAAATCTTCATCCAACCTTCTAAGGTCTATCTCACACTTGCGTTTCATCAGCGTGCACGTTCCTGTGACATATGATTAGACTGAGAACTGTTGACAAAAATGTGCAAAAGTTCGTAACAGTTATGTTCAGTATGTGAAAGTATTAAGATTATACCACCACTCGGTATCTGCAGAGATCAGATACTGGACCTGAAGTACTAAAGTATTAAGTCACTCAGTTGGCGTCGCTCGGAGCATAACAAACTTCTAGCGATTACTTAATGTGATTGTTTTACTAAATGAAGCACCTGAGTATTTTTTACACGAGTAATTGTAATAACTTTGTAGGTCATTAATCAATTTTTGACTATTTCTTCTTATTATTAATCAATTTTCACGACCTCTGAGACGTAATGGACCAGATAATAACTGTTGCTCATAATCTAAGTCACATTCTTAGATTATAAGCAAGTTATTTTATCTCTATTCTGCTAATATTTTATATCGAAAACAAGTTACTGACAATTTTTACTACAAACAAACATTTTAAATGCATGTTATCATTTCACGTATTTCTCACCGTACAGCCACCAGGAGTTCCAACACCTGACCCCCACACTGGGTATATAAGTGTACTTTGTATGAATTATCAACTGTAGCAAAACTCTTGCATTTTTTTATTACAAGCTCCTGTACTATAAAGCATCCTCTCTATGCCGACACACATCAGAATGCTGATCTTTCACAAGAGCGTGGCGACCACGCAGCGTTTTTTTACCGGCAGAATCAACACGTGTTTTCGTAAACAAGCATATATCGACGCTGGAAAGCAAACATGTAGTAACCCGCAAAACCAAAATTGTTTTTCTGAGCAGAAAAGCTTTTATTTTTTCGATAAATAATTCCTATAGACGTCCATGGTAACAAATAAAGTGTTCCTTAATCAATTTATACGGAAAATAAGATATTTTTTATAGAAAAAATATAAAGATTTTCCACTTTAAACATCCATTCTGGTTTTGCAGGTTATAACGTGTTTGCTTTCTAGCATCGCTATGTATTATCTATGGTAAACAGTCTACCCGTAACATCTCAGCTACGTTACTATGTGGCTACTTTGTTCCAACGTGCGAGCTTTGAAACATATACATTGTAGTAAAATAATTTCAATAATTCGTAATCCATGAATGTTTAAATATCTTAAAAGTTGAGCTCTAGCATAATAAAACCAACTTCTAAAAGGAGTCAGTACCTATTAACTAGAGTAATACTAGAGTTACAAATTTAATATAGGTGCTTCTTTTTTTTTGATTATTTTATCGCTTAAAACAATACTAGTCCATATTTAAAAGATCCCGTTGTTAATATAAACCTAAAAAAAGGAGTCTTTATTAAAGATGACGAAAATATTGAGGATAATTTATAAACAAAATTGTGTCTGTGTGTCGGTGTCTGACCATATCTAATATTTGTCATTTCTTATTTAAAATCTACCTTTGTGAAAACGTTATAAAACCGGTATTATTTTTAGAACGGGTACTGTTATACGTGTATCTGATAACCCGGCCAAGACAACATCCTTTTTTGGTGCAAAAAAAAAAACGAGTTGCCGCAGATGAATATTATTAATCTCGGGCAATCTCACATGGAGAATTAAGCAAAAAGTTGACTTTTACCTTTTTTTTAAATTATCTTTATCGCGATAATTTAATAAAACAATAGGTACCTATTCAATAAATAGGTACAATGAATGCAGACAGATTATAGGCTTGAATTATGGCTGAGTAGCTCGCATGCCGATTTGAAGGTGTCGCCATCTCTGAGGTCCGGGTTCATTTCATTCAGACGACTCCACGTTGGGGTACAACATTATCTCAATTTTCTTCAGTTGATTTTAAAGTCTAGTCTTCAAAGCAATAAGGTTTAAAAAAAAAGAAATTTTACAGTTTTATATTACATTACGTGACGTTTACTGTACAAATAAACTATTTTATATTGTCACTGGTCTGAGCACTGTGTTAAATGTATTGTGTATTTTTCCATAATAAAAGTGCTTGAGTAATGTATGTGATGATGCCTACTTTATTTATTATAGATAGTCGTGCCATAAATATTGTTACACAGAAAATCAACTTTTTTTTTATTGATCGCAACATTCCTTACTATTACAGTGTGTTATTTTAATGCATTAATATAAAGCAATTAAAATTATATATAGGTTCAAGTGTTATCCATTGACAGCAATACAGTCCTTTAAACGTTAAGGCTAGTTATCAGGAGATGCACGTACTCTTTCCATGGAAAAATTCGTAACTGCCAATAGTGGACTGTTTTATGGACTCCAAATTATCATGGCGCCGAGCAATGCCGAAAGAACCATTCATTATAATTAGACATGGTGTTTTTAAGGGATTTAAATACCTTCTCGAGAATGCCATCTTGAAACACTTGTTTTGGTGCTTTTTTCACAAAAATATTTCTCGGTCACTCCTTGATAGCTAAGATCCGACCAAATCATCACTGAATAGGATAATGCCCACTTTGTACTCTGTAGACTAGTCGTAAAGCTTCTTTAGAGATTTGAGCATAAATACTGCCATATGCTTTATAACAATATTGCTCAATTGTAAAGAAATTCTCACCCGTTAACAATTTTTTATGTGACCTCCCTTTGCGTACCACTTAAGTCGTTGGTTTGATTGTACCACCCTATTATTTTTTAAATTATCTATAAAGAAGTGACCAGTGCATCTCTTATAGGCTGCAAGTCCATCTTTTAAAATACGAGATAGGGTTCTAGGTGCTATCTTCATCTCCTGAGATAAAATCTTTTGTTTTCGGACAAGATTTCTTCGAATTCTTTCACTTACTGCTTTGCTCGCCTTTTTATACTTGTAGCTTTGCAAATAACTTTATCTCCCTCATATATACGACTAAACTTTAAATTAAACAAAGACAGAATATGTGCGAACGACAGAATGAACGGAAATGGGTAATTGATACTGTATTATCAGCTGTCGAAAATTTCACCCCTTATGATGAATGAATGAATGAACGAGTAATGTAGATATATGTATAAAATCAATTAATAAAATACTGTAACATTGAAAATTTCTTTAATACGAGGGTCAAACTGAAAGTTCTTAGAAAATCAAAACTGATTACATTAGCCAGTTATTAGTTTTATTATATCTTTTCAAAATATTGTCCATTCACGTCAATACACCGCTGCATGCGATAGAACCACTGGGAAAAGCACTTTGCCCACTCGTCCTTAGGGGTCTCTTCAATGGCATCGCGATACGCAGCCACTGCTTCTTCAGCATTCATAAACCGCTTTCCTTTAAGTTTTTCTTTAATTTTTGGAAATAAATAAAAATCACAAGGCGCGAGGTCGGGGCTATACGGCGGGTGACCCAGTAATTCAACGTTTGATGTCGCCAAATAGTCGATCGTTCGCTTGGCGGTGTGCGACGAGGCGTTGTCGTGGTGAAGGAGGATCCTACTGCGAGGTCGTTTCTCTCGAACTTTTTCCAAGACAAGTGGCAAACAATTGGTAGTGTACCATTCTGCAGAAACTGTTTTTTGATCCTCTAACACAATTGTTGCAAAATGACCTATCCTTCCAAAGAACGAGGCCACCATTTTTTTTCCCGCACTTCGATCTCTCTTCACTTTAGTTGGCAACTCCTCGAAAGGAAACACCCACTGAGCAGATTGTCTTTTGGTTTTAGGATCATAACAGTAAATCCAGCTTTCGTCACCTGTTAGTATGTCGAACACAGCATTTGAGTCACCTCCGTTAAATCTTTCAATCATTTTACGACACCAATCCACACGATGGAGTTTTTGAGCCTCAGTCAAATTATGAGGTATCCACCGGGCGCAAAGCTTCCTGACCGCTAAATGTTCGTGGAGGATTTTGTGCACTTGACTCATACCGATGCCTAAGCTTGTCCGAATCTGTTGATAGGTCACTCTTTTGTCAGTCTCTATCATACGCCGCACAACACAGATGTTATCTTCAGTCGTCGCCGTAGAAGGCCGTCCCTCACGTAAATCATCAGTGAGATTAGTGCGACCACGTTTAAACTCATTAAACCAGTTGTAAACAGTCGCACGAGATGGGGCTTCATCGTGAAAGGCCAATCGTAGTCTATCATAACTTTCTTGTTGACTTAAATGACATCGAAAGTCATAAAAAATCATTGCACGAAAATTTTCTCGTGTTAAATTCATGATGACGTGACACAGACAATTTTCAATTTGCCGCCAAATCGTAAAACAAATGACAAATGAATGAAATATATACTCAGTAATATTGGCAAAGAGTTATATTTTCAAATTTTAGAATTATTTTTTTATTATATTGTTTATAAGTGGCCAGTTCTAAGAACTTTCAGTTTGACCCTCGTATACCTATTCCGAATCGAGAAAATAGTCGTTCGCTATCTTTTATCATTCCACCGTTTATCAATTATATTAGAAGACCTAGAAATAATACAAGTTTAAAATATGGGTGCATAAAATTAGTCTTCAATACAAATGCCCGATTTTGTTTCCAGATTACTTATAAACAGATTCCATTCGGAAGAGTAGTGAGTGTTTTAATTTTATCGCAATGTATCTCGTCTAATCTTGCAACTGAATTTTAAAGCAGTTATCCTCAATTGGTCAAGCTGAACTTCACACATAATTAGTCTAGATGGCAATGCACAGTTAGCTAAGTGATATTATTTTAAATCATAAGATATGTGGGGCGCCCGCAATGTGGCATAATATTATATAAATCATGAGAGCATACTAAAAAAAAAAATTGTACACCTTCATGTTATGAATATCAATATAGCATTTTGAATGTAAACTTTTTAAGGCTAGACTAAGTATAGTCATTAGATGTGGCCTTGTCAGAAAAACTTATTCATAAACCTCACTAAACTTAATAATAAATAATATTCACTAATTGCATAAAGTACGCGATACTAGGTGGCACCTATAGAATTAAAATTTGTTAATGGATTAATGTAACTTAGCATTTTCATATGAACATTTTAAAATAATTTTTGATCTGGTTGGTTTGAAACCTGGACATAATATCAGAATAACTGCAGCAAAACATGGTCGTGTTTAGTCTTGCATTATAAAAAAATAATTTTGTTTAACGACAATAAATCTCAATAATATTGAAAACACATTACTTTATCTGATGCTATCATATTCAGTAACTTAAATGGAGTTAAGTATCCTGATTTCAGATGATAATTTTATTTTAACAAGAAAATTTAAAGATTTAATTAATCATACATTATATAATTTTTTTATTTAAAAAGATACGTGTACTAGTCACTTTTGTTTATAAATGGTAATGTATTTTAATATTGTGTAGCAACAGAGGGTATCTATGGATAAATAAAATGTGAAATACCTACGTCAAAATCCTTACCCTATAACATAACCTCACAACAGCTCCAAAGTATATAAAAACATTTAGAAGCACACCTAATCAACAGGCTAATATTATTATTATCAAATATCAAGTATTTGGTGATTTTAAATACAAATTTATTATAATGTTATTTAAACTTGCTTTTATATTTTATAACTTAAATCTAAGGTAAGTCCTAATAAATAGAAGAGCAAAGAGAATTCATAATATTTGTTTAAATATTTTATGGTATTCATAAAATAAATTTTGTTTTTGGTCAGTTTGGTTACAAGTAAGGTATGAAGAAAGTAAACGTTAGGATATAACTTCAGTTTAATTGATGGAAAAATTACTATTTACATAGACTATAAGAGAGGAAACTGTTAAGATCTCGCCCAAATTTTCTAATGTTTACAGGTGTATATGTTTTGTTGTCTATACTATTAGTTATTATAAAAAGGAAGTATTTGATTTTTTGTTTGCTTTGAATAGGGTCTGAACCGATTTTAAATTCTATCAACTACGAGAAGCTTTATATACATATACGGGCAACATACGCTGTAATTTACACGAGCGAAGTAGCAAAGAAATAATTACACAGTAACTGTAAAAAACGAAATAATAAATAACATACACCGACAAGTACATAGCAAATTCGAACCAGTTTTCTCTTCAATTCCGAAAACGGTTACTTAATTTTTTTTTTAATATTCTTCTTATTCAGTGGAATTAGCTAATCGGTATATTTCGTTTATTTCTGCAATAAAACAAAAACATTTGAATGGTTTCAAATTAGAAGTTTATGAGTACCTTTTTTTAAAAAGCTAAATTCTAACTTTAAATTGGTTTATTTCAACATCATTCTACAGTCATGATTGTAAATAATGCCAAAGATATAATGATATAATAACATGAGTTTATATCTGTTATCTTAGTTATTTTTGCAATTGAAGTTAAAGGACTAAACTTTTTACATTGATACAATATCAAGATTGTTAAATAATAAATGTTTTGGCATGTGAACGACTGCGTGCAATATATATGTTGTGGGCCAATCGTTGAAATCTGCCCGGGCATATCGTGGCCGATCCTGCTTTCCCATCGAAAAGAAATGGCGGCGTATCGTGATGTGCCGGGATAGATTTCAATCGGCTTAATTCAATGATTGGCCCACGACATATTACATACATACTTACTATACTCACTTGAAATTATACTATCACAACAGTAAATACGACAGAAATGCTTATCTGTAGAATCCGCTAGAAAAACAATGAGAGACATTTACTAAACAAAGGTACAGGTAAATCTTGTTAGTTTTTATTACACTGATAACAAACGCTGCAGAATAGATATATGGTATGATCCAGCATTTAAAGACGGTACACTATTCTTTATTCCAATGATTCTGCAGAATCTCAATTGCGATAATCGGATGATATTCGTCCAAATTCTTGATAATTTAACTTCAGGGATAAGGTCTAAAATCAAGAGGGTACATTTAATAACGAGCTTTTCGTCCATTAATTTTATTACCTCATAAGTTCATTTACCGATCACAAATGCCAAAACAGCTATATTTTTGTCTATCTCTTTATCACATTTTTGGAACAAGGGTCAATCCTCAATTTACAACATAAGATTTTTGTCTCAATATCTTATTTTTCAATCTGTGGATGTATTGAAAATATATGATCCCATTGTGTCCAATACTATGATGGTGGTCAAAGTAATAATTGTTGATATACCTGCGACAAAAGTTCTTAATGAAAATTCCAATGGCTTTATTATCTTTTTCAGTGCTGTTATAACGGAAAACGGAGTATATCCATCTACAATATCGATAAACACAATGAACACAAAATGTAAAGAAAAGGAAGTGGAAAAGGCTTATGAGCCCTTCGAAAACAGAAAACTGGAACATCCTAATTCGTAAGTACGATCCTTTAACTCTTGAGACATGTATGTCATTAATTAACTATTTAACATATTTTTTAATATCTAAATCATAATCAGAGTATATAGTTCTCAAAAAAATCTCATAACCATTACAAACGCTTTCTTGAACTAAGATAAAAGAAAGCTTTTATTCAAACACTCTAAAAAAGATGATAATAAAATTTTCTTTTTAAATTTAACTACCAATGTATAACCTCATTACACACAATTTATATAATCATAAAAGCTTGTCGTGCACTGTCATCCAAACTTAACATTGAGTTCAAAGATTCCACCCGAATATACTTACTTACATAAATTGCAAGTTAAATAAAAGCTTTTAATAAGCCTAATCTTAAACTCTCTAAATTTATATTATTTCTGTTTGTATCAGAGATGTTCGATCGTTCGCAAACCTGCTGAAATCATCTCTTGGATCCGGGATCCTCGCTATGCCAGCAGCCTTCAAAAACTCTGGAACAATAGTCGGCATACTCGGTACAATCATGTTGGGCTACATTTGTACGCATTGCGTATACTTACTGGTACTGAAACATTTTACGCTCATAGCTTAAAGAAAAAATGTTTTGATTATCTGTTTCACATGACTTCCTTTGGTACTCACAACTGCAGTCAGATTACCACAATATGTTAAATTTCTGCAACAGATTTTGACCTCTACCCTCAAAATATTAAGTTTTAAATTCGAGTAGGGAAATTTGACAATAGGGTCTTCTCTTGTAGTCAACTGCACGTCAGTCTTCTGACGTGCAGTTGACTGTACAAAGACAGTGCGAGCGGCATTGCCTGCTCGTCCCGGTGTGAATTCGCGCCACTTCTATTGTATTTATACTGTTACAGAATAATTATATCTGAAGTAAAATCTTAAAGAACAGACAAGCTAACTTAGACCGGACTAAATCACATTAGGAACTAGCTCACAATCAAGGCTTACCTAAGTTATCAAACATCGTATCTTTCATTTTTATTTATTTAAAACACTTGACTACAGTAACCAAGATACCAAATGTATTTATAAATTACTAAAAACACAACTATCGTTTGAAAAACAAAAATCAAAGAAATAATAACTTATATTCAAACAATCCAATAATTGCAATAAATACACAAAATCAAATTAACTTTACAGAGGTTTTCAAATAATTATAGTTTTAAGAATGGTACATATTAATTTTCAGGTGAAAACTTCACAAGAAGTATCAAGGGTGTCCCGTGTACCATCGTTAGGATATGCGGAAACTGTAGAAGCAGTGTTCGCGACAGGTCCGCCAACTTTTAGAAAATTCTCAAGAGCTTCCAGGTAAAATAAAATTTTATTTGTTTCTTTCATTTGTTGTAGTTTAAATAGTTAAGTTCTGAATTGCTCATATGTGCTTACAAACTTCCTATAGCAAAAAGTATAACATTTCAATTTTACTTAGTTGTCATTCTAGCGCATTAAATGTGTAAAATGAGTATATCTATAAGTTATGACCGGTATAAATTTTTCTAAAAATTATTGATAACCTTAAAATATACTGACATACAGTACACTGAAAATGTTTTGTCTAATGTTCATTAAAATAACTACAAGGTAAACGACGATTAGCAGTTGGTCAATTTTACGAGCAATAGTTAATTTCAAAACTTAAAAATCATTATATTTTTACGATACATCGAGAAAAGTAATGTCATTTCAAACATAGGAAATGGCATAAATATACGTTATCATTTAAAATATTAGGTATGTGCTTAAAAATTCAGAAATAGGAAGTGCGCTATTCCTTATTATCAGATTTCTTGGCAACTGTACCGAAACATCTCTCTTTTTAATACCTATTGCTTTAGTATATTAAAATTTTCAATTTTTATAAATTTGAAAAATATATATATATATATATATATATATATATATATCTAGTTTTTTTTAATTAAAAATATTACTTTTACAACAACTTAAAGTCTTATTTAATAAAACATCTACTTGATATATCTTCAAAGATCCATATTCAATTCAAATTCCTTCCTAAAACAGTTTCTCTTATATATAACAATTAAGGTTAAATCACGTAAACGTGACCGGCTGTCCTTGATATTGATGTAATTAATCACAATCGATCAAACGACGAGACGGATCGAAATCATATTTAAAATTATCACGTGTCGTGTGCGTGAGATGCTCATAACATAGAATTTATATTTCTGTCTGTTATCTACATAAGCTCTTCCTATTTAAAGAAACGAGATTTAATAATGCATCGTATTTAAAATGATTATGATAAAAGATGAAACTTTCGTAATAAACATTATCTTTGCGGTCATAAAGACGTGATTGTTCTATAATAACTGCCACATAAATAAAACATTGATAAACTTTTATTAATATAAAATGTTTCATTGGATTAATTTTATCCGGAACAAGAGTGATGAACATTTTACTTCAACAACTCTTGCCTTTAAAATCTAGAGAAATAATTTTCTGATATTCTTAATGACTTTGTCCCTGTTCTTACACTGGATTTTTTAAGCATATTTCATTAAAAATATTTTCAGTATAGCTTTTTGATTGCAAAATTGATCATATATAATAATTAGAACAAATTTTCATCTTTATCGAAAGTTTAAATATCTGTAAAAATATTTGCTTTTGCTGTTTGGGTGAATTGCCTGAGCATTGATGAGAATACGCTCTGTAGTAGCGAAAAAGTAACAAGGGCTAGAAAAATTCATCTCTCCTGTTAGTTCCTGGGTAGCTCAGTGGTTAGAGCAGTCGATTCCGAAAGTTCATGGGTTCGAGTCCCATCACAGAGTACCAGGGACAAAGCGGATTTTTAAGCATTTTTCATTTAGAATATTTTTCAGTATAGCATTGTGAATACAAAATTATTGAAATATAATATATTCTTTGGATTTCAGTAAAATATTATGAATGAATATACATTTTACTTTCCGCAGTCGGGTAAATATGGATAATTATGCTAAAGTGTACATGCTAATAATCTATGAATATTTTTATTAAATCTCTGTTTTATTAAATAATACTTACTTTTATAGATAGACTGCCCACTCTACACAAACAGTCCAATATAATTATAAAATGTTGTTTAACTTTTTCACAATTGCCTTGAGCCAGTATAGAGGTAAATACTTTTCTTCGTGTTGAAAAAAATCAAAACAATTTCATACATTTATTTATCATTAAAAAAATATATATTAAAACGGTTTTTATTGAGTGTAATAAATATTAATATATTGCAAATGAATATATTATTAAACCAATGAATAGTTTTCTTAATATAATAATCGTTTTATTTTTCAGAATATTTATAGACTGGACCATGGCTTTCACCATTCTTGGCGCGTGTGCAGTGTATGTAATCCTACTAGTCGATTCCGTGGTACAGGTAATTTGGACCATTGACAAATCTATCGCTTAGATGAGAATAGGAGTTAATGACTTCTTTACACGTGCATTTCACGTGCTTTACAACGTTAGCATAGTATGAGACTAGGACTTTGCGTTACTAACTAATACCTACATACGTTAATGCATTGTTTTCTCACCTACGTAAAAATAATTAGAATTTTTCAATGGTCACAAAGTAGCCGAAACAACGTATCTTCGGTCTTAGTTTGTTTCGCCATTACTTCCCTAGCAGAGCTGCTATATATTGTACTAGTGAGAATTAAATATAAAAAAATAAACTATAAAAAATAAACACAAATCTGTTCTTTAAAAAAAATAACAAAGCAATATACCATTACGAACAAAAGCGTTTTTTTTTTCATATAATCTTTTAGCAACTATTTTGGTAATTTGTAATAATTAATAGTGAATGGTAGTTACTCAACACTTAATACAATTCTAATGTAAAATAAACTTGTAACAACAATAATAATATTAAGTATATATTTTTACTTCGAATACATATTGACTGTACATTAACAAAATATATTTTAACTAGCTGACCCGGCGAACTTCCCACCACCATTAACTCCGACCGAAGCATCAGTTTTAAACTCTATTCAAGTTTTTTACATCCTATTTGACGATATTTGCAGCACGCATTCTGTCAACTCTATGTCGAACTTGTGACGGGTTCGGTGCTAAGATAAATAAAAGGCTGACTAAGCTTTATAACTTGATATATTTATTAGTGAAAAACTGTACAAATAGATAAACATATACCATCGCGAACTTTTTAGTAGATCTAATAAAGAGGTACAATCCCACCATACATTGTTTCATTGTAACTAAAAACGTTTTGGCAACGTTTTCGAGAAAAACTCCCGTTAAACTAATATCGTGGTAATATCGTCAGTTTGCATAAAACCTAAACTTATTATACACTAACCTTCCTCAGGATCTTATATAGAAAACTGTATGTAAATTCATCCAGTATTTTCGAGATTTTCGTGAACAGACAGACAGACAAACGCAGCGGGGCACTTTGTTTTATAATATGAAGTAACGTAAATAATAAAAAAAAATATCAAAATAAACTAACAGTTTCTTTTATAAAATCGTGTTCATAAACCTGAGAGGCAAAATCTTTTATTCATTGATTTTTTTTATTCCTTTTTATTTCAGATTATTGACCACTTCTATCCGGGTAACGGCATTTCCAAGACAATGTACTGTCTGATGTTTCTCGTACCAATACTGGCGTTCACACAAATCAAGAATTTGAAATACTTAGCGCCTTTCTCTGGATTTGCAAATTTGCTGTTGGTACTAACGTTTGTCATCTGTCTTTACTACATATGCATCGACTTTCCCGACCTCAGCAGCCGTCCTATGTCGGTGGATATTGGAAACTTACCTTTATTTATTGGGTAAGAGGATTGTACGTTTGTTTAATTTCCATAAATGTAAATTTCCAAAAAAGGCCCAATACAATAGGGGATTATATCCTAATTGTAACGCCCTATTGTATTGGGCTTTTTTCAAAGGAGTGAATATTTATGGCATTTATATTTTTCGTTTCATATGTTTCGTTACTCTTACTTTATTAAAAATGATTCAAATGCGAGGCGCCCTTGTACATGACATACCACAGGCACATTTTTAAAAAACTGTCTTTCTAAAAAAAAAGAACAAATTATTTTTAAAATTAAGCAAATTTTAAAAAAGATTTACCACTTTGATTGTTTCAGAACAGTTATATTTGCAATGGAGGGCATCGGAGTAGTTTTACCAGTGGAAAATACAATGGCTAAGCCTCAGCACTTTTTGGGTTGCCCAGGAGTACTTAACATTACCATGACTGTGGTTGTTCTCTTGTATATGTTGATGGGCTTTCTTGGCTATGTCAAATATGGAAATCTTGCGGAAGGAAGCATCACCCTAAATTTACCCACAGGAAAAGATGAAATGTAAGTATTAACACTAGTAGCAATTACAATCCACGAGGATAGGTATAAGTTATAGGAATATGGAATAAATAATGATATAAAAGAAGACAAATAATATCTTTCTTTTTTCAGCCCAGCATTGATGGCTAAATGCTTCATCGTTTTTGCAATTTTCTTCACCTATACTTTACAATTTTACGTGCCTATGGAGATCGTATGGCGTAATACCCAGGAATATGTCAGCAAAAAGCACCACAACCTAGCACAATCAATTATGAGAGCCGTATTTGCTTGTCTCACAGGTAAATTTCAAGTACATATAATATCAATCAAGAATTATTTTGATTTTAAAATAAACGAGTTACATTGTACAACATCCACACATATCGGGCAACGCCCATGGTCCGATGTTAAGAAAAAAGTTTACTAACAAGATAAGTTAGTTAAATTCTACTTTTGTAAAATATATTAATTTATTGATTACTGCATAATTATTGAAATTCAATGAGAGGATGTAAATGTAGTAAAATATTATGTGTAACCTAATTTATATTTAAAAAAATCGTTGATATAATTTTACTAGACAGACGTCTTAATACTGTTTTTTTTTATTTCACAGTAATTTCTGCTGCGACATTACCACGCCTGGAACAAGTAATCGGTTTAGAAGGTGCCTTTTTCTATTCCTTCCTTGGACTTATAGCGCCCTCTATTCTGGATCTCATGTTCTCCTGGGAGAGAGGGCTGGGAAAATACAAATGGATTCTCATTAAGGACACCGTTCTTATATTTTTCGGAACATTTGTACTAGTAACAGGAGTGGTCCAAAGTGTCAGAGAAATAATCAGGACTAATTCCGGTGGTATGTGAATTGTGATAGTACACATAATATAATGTAAATACAGTATTGTTAATTTATTATATACCTGAAAAATTTAAATAAAGTTTCAATTAAGGTGGTGTTGTAACTTAATACCCATAAGCGGCTCTACTGTGTTATTAAAGCCCTGATTTGTCAAAATTACTTTCATACTAGAAGTAATAAATGACACTTACTAGCGCTATCGTAAATTTTCTTCCAATTACCATACTTGACGAGTAGTATAAATTTTGTGTAGTCCATCGTAAAAAAAAAACAAAAGCATAATAAGTTAAATAAATGGACTAATTTATTATTTAAAGTTAGCAAAACAAACACTCAATTTACATAGGTTTTTCATAATTGTATTAAAAAGTACTCGATACCTCTAGGAATCAATACTTTTGTCCCGCTACTTTTTTGATATCGATAGTATCGAGTAAAGTACCGATACTTTTGAAATTTTGCGGAATCCTACGTGTAATTTACGTTGTAATTTACGTTTGACAGCTAAGAACAGTTTGTATGGGAAAATCAAATTGTAGTATTTAGTATTATACTCGCAATTTTTTTATATTTTCTCATAGTTTAAAAGGTTTAAAAGAGCGAACGAAACCCAGGACTTCCACGAATATTTCAAGACTAAAATTTGTCAAATCGGTTCAGCCGTTCTTCGTTTTAGCGAGACTAACGAACGGAAATTCATTTTTATTTATATAGATAGATATGTAGATAGCGAGACATGGTGGAGTTTTATGTGTCCAATAACTTAAAGTAGAAAATAATTCATAAAGTGTCTTAATCTTAGAAAGAAGTGGATGATTTGAACACTGAATAGTACGAAAAAAGAATTTGTCACAAATATATTGCCGTCTTAGTTGTAGGGGGGTTCACAGCATTCTATTTGTAAAGCGTTTATGGGGCTCGACTTCATGTATCTGCCAAGAAAGAGAAGATGCAAGACTAGGAGAACATAATGACACATCAACAGCACTTTTATTTTGATTTGGTTTTGTTGCACGTTTAGCTTCAACAGTATTTAAAATACATATATTATGACAATCAATAATGTCTAATAATTCATCCCCATAATTGTTTGTAATGGAACTGCCCCATGATTGATGATGGCAATTAAAATCACCTAGTACTAGAAAATGTTTAGGCAAATTATTTTGAATTAAACGAAGTTCATTTAAAACACGAATAGATAGTAAAGTAAAGTAAAAGTAAAGTAAAAATGTATTTATTGACATAATTTCAAATGAAACAAAACTTAATGAATCCAAGGGCTCCCGAGCTAGCTGAAAACTGTGTTTCAGGAGCCTTTGTCTTCTCCAACTTATATTAACAAATCTTATGCCTGAAGAAAAAAAAAAGAGTCTACAAAAAATAAATAAATACAAAAAAATAAAATTAACAAATATATGAGTACTACTACAAATATTAAAACTGCAAATGGAGATAAAAAAACTATTATAAGTTATGCTTAGTAATTTGACAAACGAAACCAAAAAATATAAAAAAATATGTAGGAAATAGAAATACACAGTTAAGCTAACGAACTATTAACAAATTCATATTATAACTAAATTGAGCCGCAAACTCATAATTTCAACATGTATCCAACATAGTCTCCAAATCATCGTAATTTAATTAATTTAACCATTATATTAGTATACTTATAATTTCTCTGTTGCTTTTGTCTTTACATTTATAGATGTGATTTATTTTATTGTAGAGATGGGGAGCAAGAACGTTGAAGTGTTTCTGCGCAAATTTACTTCTTACTTGAGAATTGGGGCAACGATCTTTCTATGATAGCGTCGGACTGATTCGAAAATAAATAGCTTTCTGATACTAAGTACACCAGACAACTCATACACCTGCATTGTGGGATACCTAAACGGAAGGAAGAGCATTACTTTAACGATTGCACGCTGTGCACATTCAGCAATAATTAGATGTGTCTTTGCTGCTCTTCCCCACGCGCATATGCAGTACCTAATTAGACACTCACACAAGGCTTTATAAGTTTGTATGACCAGTGTGTAGTCAGCAACATGGCGAAGATTCCTAAACACATATGTGGGCTTTCTGATTCTCAATGCCAGTGGTGATATATGGTGCTCCCAGGTCAAATGGTCATCTATTGTAACACCCTAGGTGTTTAAAGACACGTGACAGTGCAGAGCAGCTGCATATACTTGATCTGTTCTAGTTGCAAGGGTAGGTATGTATTAAAACATTAATTTCGTGGCCCGGATTACCAGCAGCTGTTTACTATAGCACATATATTTTGTTCTATGTGTGTTTATTGTAAGGAGACTCCGGTCTAACCATTTTGTTACGTCTGCTAAACTATCCTCAGCTAGTTTCGCAACTTTAGGCCAGGTTTTGTCATGTAGAATTAACACAGTGTCATCAGCGAACATCAACAAATCAAGACCACGCCGAGAAGTAACACACAGGTCATTAATGTATACGAGGAAAAGTGTAGGACCAAGAATACTTCCCTGCGGTACTCCATAGGTACACACTGCGCTATCACTCTGAAAGTCTGATACCTTAACTTTCTGCGATCTTTCAGTTAGGTAGTTTGAAAACCAATCTAACGCTATTCCTCTTACTCCAACATTCTCTAGACGTGTGAGTAGGATAGGTATAGACACAGTGTCAAATGCTTTCTGCAAATCTAAAGAGACTGCAATACATTTGTCTCCCTTATCTATATACGAAGTGACTAGAGATGTTAAAGCAAGGACTGCGTCTTCCGTTGATCTTTTTTCTCTAAAGCCGTACTGATTAGCACTTAAAAGATTATTTGTTTCCAAGTATTTTATAAGACGTTTTTTAACTAGTTTTTCAAGGGCCTTTGAAAGAGTTGATAACAAAGAAATTGGTCGGTAGTTAGACGGATTTTTTTTTGTCTCCTGATTTTTATAAATTTCAGGGAAAATTCCTGTTTCCAAACTTATATTGCAGATAAAGGCAATAGGTTCAGCCAGCACTGCTTTACATTTTTTTAACAATCTACCCGATATGTTATCCCATCCTGGCAGATGGATGGGAAATATATATATAGACACAATACGTTTGTTAAAAACTCTAACAGCAATTATTGAAATATCTTTATGGTGAGAGGGCAGAGGAATAGATGTGAAAGAAAGTGATTCTTTAATGAGTATCTATAATATCTCCATAACCATCTAATCTACAACTGATTGTGTGAGTTTCAATATAACCGAACCTCTTTGAGAAACTTTATAATTGATACGTCTTACTTTAATTATCTTGCCACATCCAATTGGGACAGTACAATTTTCGAGAACTTCTTCAGGTATCAATTCTGAAGGGACACCTCGTACAAGACCCATTCTAGTAACATTGAAAGTTGGTATAAAAGCTTTCATTTTATTAATTTCTAGTTTTTTGTTAGTGATGTAAGAATTTGCAGACATATAATTAGAAAAAGCTAGTGAGACTTTATTGTGGCCAAGAAGTTTCACACTACCGTTGACAATATTTTCAAATTGGTTAATTTTTAAAAACCATCCAAAAGTAGCAAGATGAATTGAAGTATTATCATGAAGATCAGCTTGTATTTGTTGCACATGAACAGTAAACGGGGAAACATCATTTTTATTGTAAAGAACACGGCCAATGGGCGTTGGTGTGACTGTGGACTCTGTAGTAGAAGATGATGGAATAGAAATATTAAAATCTTTGCCAACTGATTGTGTCTTTTTTTAGTTCCATTCGAAGTAGACTCTTTTCTTGGTGAATGATCAAAACAATTGCAATCATTTTTTGAGTCGGAGCCATGATTACGGCTACATTTTTTATTGCAGTGCTTACATACATGTACGCGTCTACGTTTGAGAAATCGTCCTGATAATGAACCGTCGGTTTCCATTCCAGATTCATTAGAAACGGTAACAAATAGTCCAGCCGGGGAATACAGCCCCCGGCGGTTCTATGGCCGGAGACACGTTCATAAAATAAAACGTAAAAACTTACCAATAAACTGCTATAATACACTACAAACTAATACCAAATAAATTTAAAAGTAACTAAGATGAAAATATACAAATCTGATCACCAATACTTAATAAAATAAAATTTAAACTCGGATAACCCGCCCACCAAGTTCGACGATTCCCGCCTTTTTTTCTTTATTTTCTTAAAAGATATACGAAACATTCGTATATAGAATATAAAAAGACAGAATACAAATAATACAAAACACAAAGTCTAGAATACAAGTCTTCTTTTTGGATTAGACCATCTCCTTAATGTCCTCTATAAATGCAACGCGCTCTTTTCGAAACTGAAAGAGAATTCCTAGTTGAGACCGGAAGCAAATCGAGACCGGAAAGCAACATCGAGTTCAAACGACACCCTCATCTCATTTAAGGCGGCAGTGTCATGAACAACACGTAACTTACACTTTTGTGTATAATAGACACCAAAATGTGGTAATTATCATCTAACCCTGCCAAGTCGTTATTAGCACTGTGCATGTCGCGAAAGGTACTGGGGAGACACTCTTCAGAACAATCTTTGGACAACAAATTATTCATAAAAGTGTGATCAGTGCCGGTTTTAGCACTACTAGCGCCCTGGGCGAAATTTCTTCGGCGCCCTCTAACTGCAATTTAATTACAATCAATTACTACTACATACTACAAATCAGTTACTTGTCTTTTTTTCGCCGACCCGGCCTACTTACTTGTAATTTTCCCTAAATTTAGGTAGATTGTTAAGCATTCAATCGGTTTAATTTCTCGGGAATCCCCGACTTTCCGACCATACAGAAACAATGTGTTTTTCTATAATCGGGGATTCCCTATATCTATCTCTTTTAATTTTTGACGAAGAAGAACACAATCAACAATTATCTTCTTGCTTGACATAAGTGGAGGCTCTTAAAACAATTATTCGATTATTTTAAAACAATCAAACACAGTAATAAAACGTTTAACTCTACGTTACGATGCTCTTGTTCCAACTATATAGTGTCATTAGTTTTATTTTAAAAGTAAACATATAAATAGTGTATAAGTAGCTGATTCATTTTTGACGGATCACATCATTAGGTAAGCACAGATTCATTTTTACCCTAACAGGGTGCCACATAATTGTTATCTATAACTTTGTGTAATTGTTGTAACTTTTTGACAGCGAGTTTGCAGTGGGCCACTACTTATTATATGATCAATTATTTTGCTATTTCGAATAAGTGGACAAGTAGCTGGATCCGCTATATTCGGGACAACAGTATCAACATCATCTAGTACATGTATTTGTTGTACATCAATAACAGATTTATCCTAAGCAGTATCTGTAATTATAGCACAACTTGCTCCCTTACTTCGGGATTTTTCATCCACAATCTCTTGAGTAGCTATTCCATCTGACTTGCCAGACAGAGGCTCCACTGCCGATGCATTCGTTTGTATTGCAGCATTTTAGCTTCAGCTTAACGTTTAAACATGCTCAAACGAAAATTTTCTTAAATGATCGAGCGATAATGCCCGCCAATGTACGTCATATTACCTTATAAAATACATATCTTCATATTGGTAATCGGTATGTTGTTCTGTTTTACCATAATATAATATTTTTCTTGTTAAGTTTCCTTTCAATTCATGCTAAAAGGCAACTTGAAAATAAAAAAAAATCCTCAAGATTCTTGTTCTTTTTTCGCCGACCCAGTAGGCCTTGTTCAATGAACAAGGGCATATAAGAATATAAGAAGGCGTCTGTGGGAAATGAGGAAGTATTGGAAAAAAAAATATAAGTTCCCGAAATCAAACTAGATGTCGTTACGGTATGTTCTTGATTTCTCCATGACAACCCTTCCAGTTTTCTTTCATGTTTAAAAGTAAATTAGTTTTCAAAACTCAATTAACAACTCATATTCTATTTATACTTTTTCGTATTTGTATTGATATCTAAATTTCGAACTTTAAAATTTCAGTTTTTTAATATGTTAGTTAAAATGAATGGAAATTACTGTCTTTGTTCCATTCGTTTCCTACAAAAATCAACTTTTACTAGAGTCGCCATCTAGGTGGAGGTTTTCCTTCCCATGCGACGATCAAGACCCAAAAAACGCGATAGAACCTTAGGATACTAACTGTAAGGGACGTGTGTTATCCCTTCCTTCCATGGCAGATCAATCCCAAAACGACCAGATGGTAAACGCGTTACTGTCGATACTAAGATTTCGATCGCACATCTGTTTTGCTTACTTAGGAGTGTATCACGCTTGGAAATTCCTAATTGGTAATTTCTAAGTCGTCATCAGGCTGTTGTAGCGTAAATTAGTCTACCGTATTGCTTACTGTCCCTGACTACTTTTTCGGACTTTAGAGTTTACTCTACCCAATTTCTAGCGTCCCATACCCTAGCGATTGGGTAGTGTCAAGTGTATTGAGAGTTGAACTGAATGACGTTTTTTGGAAGTTTATTAACATGATAATAGCCTAAATAATTTCTCGCTCCGTTATTATAGGCTGCAAGAACCAGCCATCTTTGTCTTATATTAAAAAAAAAAGATAAAAACAAAAAATACATTGCGGCGGTAAATTTAAAACTTTATACATTTTGTGCAAAAACGTTGTATTTATACATTTAATAAAATAAATTTAACATCTAAGTACTTTCTATGGTATAATTTTCTCAATTTCATTAAATTATGTACTTATACTGTCAGATTAAAATCTTGGTTAAGTATCATCAACACAAAAAATTTACCAACCTAATAAACCTTGTAGCTTTCCGCTCTATTTTAAGACTAATATTGTCATCTCTCAAAACAGTGAACTGAAAGTTTTGTAACAAAATATTACTGGCACGGAAAACAATTCTCATTTCGCCCAGCTGGACTATGAATGCAATTCATTGGCTCGTTTGTGTAGAAGAATTTGTGTTGTTTGAATGGTAAATGAATAATCCAATTATGTTTAAACTAAAATTGGTGTAAAAAGTGAAAGGTATTTAATTTCTATATAATTTGGAGATTTCTATTGCAAGAATAAAATGCCGCTTACGTTAAACTCGAAAGTGGTGAGTATTACACAATAACCTAACTTTTTAAAATTTAAAGTTCTAAAATATTCGTATCGCCCATACTGATTATTTTATCATTATCCGATAAATTATCTGATCGATAAATAGTATCTATATAAGATTAGGTTACTTAGATTTAAATTTTAATCGAGCAACATGAGTGAAACTATCGGTACGGTTAGTAATTCATGATGGATCATCGAACTTCGTGTGTTGTCTCTCATTCCTAATTCATAAACATTTGCATAATCACCGTGATCGTGGACCTTCTGCGATCATTTGACTAATTTTGTATAAACTCAATGTTGTGTGTGTGTAACTACTAAGTTCCCCTATTAAATAAAATTGTCTGTCATTGAGATGACGTCGCATCATGATTAAATCCTCACTCAAGATAACAAGTTCACGAAATTCTTAGTTACCTAGTATATTTTCGTGCTCAATTCAATGTTTGTGTAAATTTTTACTACACATATTAAGTACATCCAAAAACATGAGTGATTTAAAATTTGTAGTAACAGAATTCCTGGAGAAGCAACATGTATGTATGAATATACTACCTTTAGGAACTTGTGTAACATTGATTCAATCAATGGTCAATTTTATTTAACTTTTAGATGACATTCAAATATATGTCAAAACTTGTAATTAAGATTATTTAAAAAAAAAAATGTTATTCTATGAATACTTTGTTGTGTGTCTCAATGTTAAAGGTTTTTATTTATTTATATGACATATCTAGCTACCAAAAAGCCCAAATGTTATTATAAATGAATGCCTAATTGGAAAATTATTCAGATGTTGTGTATCTTTTAAACCAAGATCCAAGAAAAAACAATCAACAAGAAAATTTTTATAAAAATTATTGTGGTAGTAATATTGTCTTATCTGTATCATCAACTTTAAATCAAAATTTCATAACCTTTAATTCACAGAGGTCATAACTATAAAGTTTTAATACATTCTGTGTGTTAGTGGAAGAATACCTATTTTAATAAAACTCTTTTGTTTCTTTAGATCTTACCAGTGGTGGTGGGAGTTGGATCAGTAATAGTATTAGTTACTGTGGTTGCAAACTGCTTATGGGGAAGAAAAAGTAAAAAACAGGTGAAGAAGATGTTAGTTGATCCCAACATCAAATATCCATTGCCCCTAATAGAGAGAGAAGAAATCAGCCATGACACAAGGAGGTTCCGTTTTGGTTTAACATCAGAAGAGCATGTTCTAGGTAACTTTACAATTGAAATATTAGTCTTATTTTACAATTTCTTATATAAATTTTAAGAATAATTTATTATTTTTTATATCAGATTTTAAAATGTGAAATAACAATACATTGACATTGTTATATGTATATATATATATAATACATTTAATATGTAATATTGAAAGAGATGATTCAACATCATTGCCATATTAATATCGCCACTGCTAGGGCACAAGCCATCCCTATGTATGGAATTGAATAGGGAATTTTACTTTAAGTAGGTATTCTATAATATACCTATTTTTAATTTATTGTTGAATATAGAAGATAACTTATATCAACAATTTTTATTGGAAACAGTATATTCCAGTGATGTTTTATACAGAGACAATTTTATATAACCTAATGTTAACCATGATGCTGATTAACATTCGGCATGGTGAAGGCTCTTTGATTATATAGTGAAGTTATCACCAACTTAAAAAATACTTTTATTTTTTAATAAAAGTGTTAAAAATAATATATTTTACTCATTATGTTATCATTGTTAAATAATACAAATTTCTCAGGATTACCCATTGGTCAACACATACATTTATCAGCAAAAATTAATGATGATCTAGTCATAAGAGCATACACCCCGGTTTCAAGCGATGAAGAAAAGGGCTACGTTGATTTAGTAATTAAGGTATGTTTATAGTTTTATTATAGTAAATATAAAAAATACACTTTTTATATGTAATAAATAAACCATAACAGATAGAATAACATTTGTAAGAGTATGTTATTATTATAAAATTAACATCTAACTTTTTCAAATGTTACTTAATATTGGGAAATGATTTAAAGTTTTTTGTGATAGTATAAAAATTTTATCGGTATTATTTCTTCTCCAGGTGTACTTCAAAAATGTTCACCCTAAGTTCCCAGAGGGAGGAAAATTATCTCAATACATGGACAACATGAAACTTGGTGATACTATTGATGTTCGAGGTCCTTCTGGAAGACTGCAGTATATTGGAAAAGGGACATTCCTCATAAAGAAATTGAGAAAGGATCCCCCTGTAAAAGTTGTAATGAAGAAACTAAATATGATTGCAGGTAACACCATTTTGAATTTGCCAGTGATGCTGTGTTAGTGAGTTTGCAAGAATAAAATAAAATATTTTTAAAGGATTTGTTTCATGCATGTGAACACAAGAGTGTTGTATATATACTTGCACTGGACTAGTTTCTTGTGTCGTATTATATAATCGTGGCCAGATTGTAGAGTTGCCCAATTCATGATGCGACCGGCCATTTCATGAAATGGAAAATACTTGCTGCCCACATCATGATGTGGCCTGGCCAGATCAATGAATAATTTGCGTTTAACGATATGGGCGGCTGATCTTATGACTACTTCATGATGTGCCCAGGCATTAGTAATCAAATCGTTAAATAGTTACATTAGTCTCAGTAAGAGGCGCTGGTATCACATGGTTTTTGTGATACATAATGTATTTTATTTTTAGATTATTAAACACATTAAAGAAATTGGGTGACAATTACTTGATTAAGTTTAGCGAGATAATTGTAGGAGTGTAGTGCGAAGGTGCGGCGGCAAAGGCTATAGTTTTATGGATATATTGCAAGACTATTATAAAGACAGGATTTTGATCTGTCTCTAGTGGATGATAAAAATATATAATAGAATATAAAAGTTTTTGAGATATGAACTGAACTAAATTACGTATGATTCACTTCTGTAGGTCACGTGATAGGTTAGAAATTAAAGACGATCTTGTTTTTTTTTTTAGACAAAAAAATCATTAATAAGTTTCAGCAAATAATTAGATATCTTTTTTGAACACCCTACATTAATAATATGACCATACTTATTAAACGTCGACGCTTAAACGATATGATCAATTTCTGGTGGCTATTTCATGAAATAGCCCATTTCATGAAATAGCCCATTTCATGAAATGGCCAGTCGGATCATTAAATGATCAATTCTACGATATGACCACGACATCCACACAAAAACTGATCTAGTGCAGGTCGGGAAGCAAAAAAATCACGTTGATTGTTTAGGAGCGCCTCTCAAATATTTATTTGATCTTGTTTTAGTATTTGTTGTTATAACGGCTACAGAAATACATCATTTGAAAATTTTCAGTCTGCCTGTCACAGTTTATGAGATACAGCCTGGTGACAGACAGACCGATGAATATATTAAAATTATGAGGTACTTCTTATGTTAATTACTCTATAAGTGTCTGTAGGTGCTTAGGTGTTAAAGTTTTAGGCTTTCATCTACATGGATAATGTAATAGGATTTTTTGCCATCAGTAGACTCCAAACACATCATATTTTTTATTTCAAACAATGTATATTTATTGTGCAACATCTGGATTCCATAGGTACCTAATGCGATTCGACTGATATTACATATGCTTGTTTGTCCTTGCATTTGTCTCAAACATGAAAGATTTACATTATTTTTAACATATTCTCGCTATCAGTATATTGATTGACTGGTAGAAATAAACTTCTTGGGCAGAAGAAACAAAACATTCAAAGCCACGAAGTACGTCAAAGTACGTTAAATTCATAATTTATCGATAATATTGTTTTTTTTTTATCAAATATTGTATAACACCTTCAATGTTCATTATGTAAGATAAAACTTCGATAAAGCAAATCTAATCATTGAGACTAAATAATGGTTTGATGTAAGTAGTATATAATCTTATCCTTGTCCTAGCTGTCTACCTTTACGTGTGCGTGCCAATGCCCGCATATTGTTGGCTTTATGATGTGATGAGGTGATAAAAAGAATTCAATCAACACGTAACCGACAAATGATAAAGTTAAAGAAGTAGTAAGGGTATTATAACCCATGAAACTACCCTTTCAGATGCACAGACTTATATAATTTGAAACAAGAGATATGCATATATAATATATTATCATAATCAAAAATGAATCCTTATAGTCTCGTCATTGTCGGATGTCTATCCTCAGTATCATATAAGTGATTATGAGTAAAGTTTCAATGGTTTATCTCGTCTAGGCCATGGTATACAATTGCATCGATAATGTTATTTAAAAACTACAAACCTGTAGTATTTATCGCTAAGTAGTTATAATTTTTCCAGTCACTGAACATTTAAATAACCTCAACTCCGATTTCTAAAGAACTGCATGAATTTTTATGTAATTTTGGAATTAAACTCATCTTACCCTCCACTTCAAACCTGATTTACTCCGGAGTTGCGCTTACAAATTGTGTTAAATATGTATTATTTATATGATAGCGCTAGTATTTTGATATTTTACTAATTTACAATCCTTAGAAACTACTACCCCCCATAAAGAAATTAATAAAAAAAATGAGAAACATTAAACTTTTAAACAAAGTATACAACAAAATATACACAATCAAATAAAAACTTTTTTTTTAAATTATTCACCTACTAAAACTAAAAATTTTGAGAAATCAAAATGACACTATCAATATTCATTTGAATGTGTTAAATTATGAAGAGACACAGAAAATGACCCGATGAACAACTGTCACCAACAGAGGTTCCCTTATTCCTTCGGAAAATTACTCTCCTTTTCTATCTATTACTTATAATATCTATATTATATTTTGTTGTGTATGTGTATATATGTTTACGTGGTCTTCCTACAAGTTCGGTTATTGTGAAGAGAAACGTATAGAGTGGTAAGAATGAATAAATGTTTACAAAAATGTTTGAATAAATGCTCCTAAGTTTTACAATGTTATTTATCAAAAAAAATATTTTATTTTTAAGAACTCAATCCCTATTCATTCATTCACTCAGATATAATTTTGTAAAGAATTTAATAAGCTGTAAGTTCAGATAGTTTACCACTCGTTTCAAAATTGACAATTTAAAGTTAGGCACGTCTCATACCGTACTTAAGTCGTCTTAAACGTCAGTTAAACAGGTTTTCGTTTCTGATTTAATTTAAGTTACTTGCATGCAAATGAAATATATATATTAAAAAGTAATCGAAATGTTCAGCAAAAATTCTTGCGATCAGTCTCCAGACTATGAGCAGATGTGGTGTATGCAAATAAACGGGTGGAAATATCCCTCATTAGGGATATCTTCCATATTGAAGTTATGGCTCATTGCCGCCGAGTTCCAGGGTCCTGCGTCGCTTCAATCGACCGATGCAATCAGGCAAAGTAAGCTGCACAGCTAGTTGATTTGGATGGTTTTCCAATCTACTTTTGTATTTCCCAATACAAGCTTTTATCTCTTCCTTTACAGTAGGTAATTTTAGGTGATCGTGCACTTCCGAGTTCTTTATGAACCAGGGCGCGTTGCTGATTTGTTTGAGGATGTAGTTTTGTGTTCTTTGAATTTTTTCAGTATTTGAGGCACAAGCGGCTCCCCACAGTTGAATTCCGTAAGTCCAGACTGGTTTAATGATTGATTTATAGAGCAGTAATTTGTTGTCGATAGACAATTTGGAACTTCGGCCCAGTAGCCAGTATAACTCTCTGTATTTAAGGTTGATTTCATTCCGTTTGCACTCAATATGCTTTTTCCAGGTCAATCGACGGTCCAAGTGCAACCCCAGATATTTAACAGTGTCACTGTGTGGTAGCTGTGTGCCTCCTAGGTTCACTGGAGGGCATTTTTCCTTACGAAGTGTGAATGTGACCTGTACCGATTTATTGACACTTGCTTTGATTCTCCACTTGTCTAGCCATTTGTTCACTTCGTTTAGATTTCGCTGCAGTATCTCTGAGGCTTTACTTGCGTGTTTATTAGAAGCCAGTATTGCTGTGTCGTCAGCATAGGTTGCAACGGTAACACCGGCAGTTTGCGGCAAATCTGCTGTAAATATGGTGTACAAGACCGGACCCAGCACTGAGCCCTGCGGCACCCCAGCAAGTATATCACAGAAGAGTGACGTGCATTCAGACTCTTTTACTTGAAATATTCTGTCAGCCAAGTATGACTGCAAGATCCGGTAGAAAGAATGGGGCAGGAACATTTTGATTTTACAGAGCAGTCCTTTATGCCACACTCTGTCAAATGCCTGTTGAATGTCTAGAAATGCAGTGGAGCAATATTCCTTTCGCTCTAGACTGTCACTGATGTGTTTGCACACTCTGTGTATTTGTTCAGTGGTAGCGTGCTCTGGTCTAAACCCGAACTGGTGATCTGGCGTTACAGAGTTTTCATCCATCGCTTGCAGGAGTCGACGTAAAATTACTTTCTCCAAAACCTTGGAGATTATTGGGAGTAAGCTTATGGGTCTGTACGACGTCACTACATGCAGTGGTTTCCCAGCTTTATGAATCATAATTACTTGAGATACCTTCCACAGTGGCGGGAAGTATCCCAATCTGATAATACAGTTAAATAATGATGTCAGATAGGCTAATGCCTTTCGAGGTAATTCCGATAAGACTTTTTTGTCAATGAGATCAAATCCTGGTGCCTTCCTGTTTTCTAGTTTGTTGATCGTTTTACTGATTTCGCTAGGTGTTACCGATTTTAAAGGCAAATCCAGTTGAAAGTCCTGTTGGAGAACATCATCTATATCTGCTTCATTTACTCCGGGAGTGGCTTCATTTGGGGTAAATACCTTGGAGAGGTAGTCAGCGAATGCATTTGCCTTTTCTTGTTTGGACCTAGCCCATTTGTTACCGTCTAGACGGAGAGGTGGCTTTGGATTGGTTGCTTGATTCATATTCTTGCATGCTTTCCAAAGTGAGTAGTTGGTATTTGCAGTAGCGGTTAGCGATTGGATATTTGCTTCGACTGTAGCATTTTCTGCTTCCTGGATAGTTTGTCTAAGATATTGTGTGTAATTATTCAATGCTCTTTTGTCATCAGGATGCCGGCTAGTATGCCATACTCTACGCAGTCTCCTTTTTTCCAGAATCATGTCTTTGATTTCACGTGGAACGTAGTTCTGTCTGTGGATTTTGTGACTCACTTCCTCTGTGCTCTGCCAGCATGCCTCCTGAACTGTGTGAGTAAATGCTTTAACAGCTTCATCTATTTCTTCCTCCGACTTTAAGGAAACCTTTAGTTGTAGAGAATTTTCAACCAGAATTCTAAATAATTCCCAGTTTGTTCGGTTGTTGTACAGTCGTGGTTTTGTGTGGCTGTCCATGACGTTGGTGTTAATCGTTAGGATTATTGGGATATGGTTGGAGGAACTATCAAGGCAGCTATCAATTTGGTAGAATAGTCGAGAGAGGCCTTTCATGATAAAGAAGTCAATTACATCAGGCAACTTGTTGGGATCAGACGGCCAGTGTGTGGGTTCCGGTGTAGCTATTGTTCTTAGATAATTCCGATCAATACATTTTTTGAGTTCTCTGCCTCTTGTGGTTATAAGTCTTGATCCCCAGTGAACGTGTTTAGAGTTCCAGTCGCCCCCAGCTATGAAACGTGGTCCTAGGGTTTGTATGTATTTGGTGAATTGCTCTTCTGTGGTTCGGTGTTTCGGGGGGCAATAGACAGACGAGATATTGAAATTGCCGTTTTTGTCTTGAATATTGACAGAAGTAGCTTGAATGTGTTCTGTCTTAAACTGGGGGAGCTCATAATGATCTATTGAAGATCCAATTATAACTGCTGTACCACCATGTGCAGTTTCATCCGGATGATTAGTTGTGTAAATATTGTAATTCTTTATATTTATTTTACTTTTGTTGGTAAAATGAGTTTCTGAAATTAGTAGAATATCAAGACTATGCATTTTTAGCAGGACTTCTACCTCATTCTTGTTGGGTGATAGACCATCTGTGTTCCATGCGGCTATTTTAAGATTTTTAATCATTTAGATAGTTTGTTTACCAGTGTTGTCAAGAGCCCCAGCATGTTGCTCATTTGTTGTAGGATGATATCAATTTTTTCGGACTGTTTAATGAATATCTCTTCTATTCTATTGTTGAAGGATTGTTGAAAGATTTCTTGGTCTGGTTGTTGACCAGTAATTTTGTTTGCTTGTTGACCAATAATTTTGTTCGCTTGTTGAGCAACTATTTTGTTGGATGCATGATTCTTCTTTACCACTTCGCTATATTTTCTATTTGAAGGTATGTTGTTGGACGTATCTGGGGTTTCATTTGTTTGTTTATTGCTTAGTTGAGGCGGTGGTGCTGATTTCTTTGCACTTATATGGGTACGCTGTTGAGTTTTTCTGGCAAGTATCTCTTTAAATACTTCGCATCCCTTATAGTTTGAAGGGTGTGGCCCGAGACACAACGCGCATGTTGCTGGGGTGGAACGATCAGTTTTAGGACATGTTTTTGTATGATGAGATTCTGCGCATTTAAGACAACGAGGAGGCCTCATGCAATAATTTTTTGTATGACCATACTGTTGGCATCTTTGGCACTGAACTATGGTTTTTCTTTTTTTGGGGTCTTCTATTGTGACAATTTGATGAAAGATATTTCTAATTTGTTTGGCTGCTTTGTTATTTGGTCCAGTTTGAAGGTTAACAAAGAATGTTGATGTGGGCTTTTTATTAGGGCCAAATCTAGCATTAATAATTTCCCCTACCACAATGTTTCCTGTTGCCTCAAAAGCAGCTTTAATTGCATTGTGTGGTGTTGTGTAGTGCAGGTTTCTTATCACAAGTCTACAGTTTCTTTCGTCTTTCCTATTGAAAGTGTGACCTATGAGTCTTTTCTCTCTAACGGCCGTTATAAGATTTTTATAAGTATTCACGTTGTCACTTATTATCCTTATTTGGTTTTTGTTGACAATTTTGTAAGTGAATGTTGATCTCTCAGCAGCCGTTTCTAGGAACTCGGTGAGGTCATTTACGTTTTCTATTCCATATAGAATGATTGGAGGAGGTTTGCTAGGCTTCTTTTCTTTAGATTCTTGAGTTATGTCTATTGTAGGTAGTCCATCAAACATATTTGAAGTTGTAATTTTTTCAGGGGACAGTATACTTGAGATCTTCCTTTTTTTGTTAGCCGGGACTTTTTGCCAGCGAGGGTGTTTAGTGTCGAACATCTTCAGTTTTGTCAGCTTGTTTGGGGACGTCCTCCTCATTGTTGTTCGGTGGGACACTTCCAACTGACGCACTTCGTGGTCTTGTGAAAAGTCCAGCATGAAAAACTTGCTGCACAAGATTTTTACTTTTATTTTTATTTTGACCAGTAGCATTTACCGTCACGGGGGCCTGGGTGCCCACTCCCGTGGAGTCTTCGGTAGCCAATTTCACACCATCCAGCCCGGATACTGGTTGGCGCCGGGGGTTAGCCGGGTCGCATGACATATCACACTCCTTATTATTTTCCATTTTCATATGATTAAAAGGTGGGAGATATTCAATAAGCACTTTCCCAAGGTACTATTGCCACGACTTTTAAGGGGGATTTAGTTCCCTTTGGCCTGTGGATGCCAGTGACAGGTTAATTAACCGCCGCCCGTTGCTCGGCGTTGTTTGCTCATTTAGCACCACCCGGGGGGCACGTGTAGGGTGAGCCTAGGACTAGGTGGTGTTTCCTACGGACGCGAGCAAATTACCCTCCTTCAGCAAAAATAAACTACATTTTTGATGCAAATAACTTTTTTTTGTAATGCATTACTTTTTGTGTTATTTTGAAACAACATAGTTTTTTTAACGGTATACAAAGTTATTTTTTTTTCAAAATGTAAGACTTCCAAACCATTGAAACTTCTGGGACGTATAAGCTGGGATATAAATGAAGTTAATTCTTGATGGGCTATGTATGATTAATTTTTATTTTGTCACTTATGACATCAAATAGATCGTATTTTTTTTCAATAATTGCAATGACTGCTATTTTTTGTTATAACTCCATCAATTTTTATGCAGGGAACCTTTATTATACATAGCTTTTTTTATGCGTCTAATAAAGTACTTTAAGAAAGGGTATTTGATGAAAAAGCTATTAGAAAAATTTACGACAAAAAATATTACTTAAATGAGTCAGAAGTCGCTTAGTATCCAGCCATAACTAATTTCTTTGTTTTTTTTTTATTACTTTAATATCGATTTTAATACTTCTTTCCATAAAATGTAAAGTTTTTGAATAATTCATGAAAATAAGTTAAAAACGGGAAATTTTTACATTTTTAATCGCGGTTAATTTGAATACTTATTTAAAAAAGCAAGTTAAAAAAAATTGTGCTCAAAATGAGATTATCTTTCGATTACTAGTGTTATTTTAGATCTATCTAATTGCTACTATACAAATTTCAAATTTATCAATTAATTTAAAAAAAAAGGCGATGGATCCGTTGAGTGACTGGACTAATCCCTATAAGTAGTAACATTCCAATAACACCGATTTCAAGACGCGTTCCATCCGAGAGAAGTTTAATATAAATGTATTATACATTAAAGCATTTACATTAAATCTCATAGTTGCGCCCAAATCCCAAGGTTACAGATATTACCTATAGCTTTTAATAAACTTTATGTAAATGTGTGTAAAAATGTAGAAAAGATGTAGAAAATTTTAAATACACATTTTTTTCCATTTACAATGGTTGATTTTCGTATATCTGTTTTCGTGTAAGTAATCGAAAAAAATACAAGTTTTAGCTAAGTCATAATAACAATGGATCAAAGTTCAAAAGGCGTAAATCGAGTTGACCTTGAGAAACAAGCTAGAACATAATAACTTATGTAATCAATCATTGATCAAGGTTAAGGATGGATTTCCAAGTAAGCAAAGCGTAAAGTTTATTGTAACTAGTACTGTTCATTCAACTGTTCTTTGTCGTTATGTTTATAGCTTCAGTTCTCAATATATGACTGAGATAAGTAGGAAGTAGGTCATAATATAAAACAAAGTCGCTACCTGCTGAATAAACAGCGAGATATTTTAAACTACACAACGGATTTTAATGCGGTTCATCAATATATAGTGATTCAAGAGGTAGATTAATATGTATAATAAAGAATCACGCGGGAGAAGAAATTGACAGAAAGCTAGTAAATGATAAAATACAAAAACTACACATCACATTATCATCAGCCTATTAATGTCTGAGTAGTGGGATTCAGGCTCAGGGGCCCAGGCTTTCTTCTCTATAGATGGAATCGAATAGGGAAAATGAGCCATTACCCACCAACGGCTTCACGTGCCTTCCGAAGAACGGTCTTACATCCTATGACCGGCCCTGTCGAAACTTGCTTAACAACCGTATTGCAGGTCGAGAACGCTTGCCACTATGCCATCGAGTTCCTCTACTCTTATATTTGTAACCATTGTTTAAAATCATACAGTTTTCTTCAAAAGCTAAAATGAAATTAGTTGGCATAGAAACCAAAAATCAATTTGTCTGTCTACTAAAATAAGTGACAATCCAAAGATAACACAGGTGTGTTAAATAAGCATTTAACGAGTTCAGTTGAAGTGTGTCCCGTTATTTACAATATTAATTGTTTTGTTTCAGGTGGCACTGGCATCACGCCAATGCTACAACTGGTGCGACATATATGCCGTGACATCAATGACCAGACTGAACTGAGACTGCTGTTTGCTAATCAAACCGAAGAAGACATCCTTTTGAGAGACGAGCTTGAGAAATACCAAAGGGAATATCCGAATCAATTCAAGCTGTGGTACACCATCGACAGACCTGGTGAAGGTTCGTTATTGAACATAATACTCTAATGTGTATCATATATTTTTTTTTATCAAGCAAAATAAATAACACCATTTTAATTTATTGATTATTCAGTCAAACAATAAACATGTGTTAAGATCCAAGCACCTAGATTGTATATTTAGTAACAGCCTCTGATTCAACTGATGAATGTGAATCACGGATTAATTGTAACAAAATGTTGACTCTTTCACATTTTTTGTTTTACTTATATTTGGTAAAATGTAGCGAAGTAGGTATTCGAATATGTTAGAAATCTTATCTCCAATTTAAATGTTAACAAAACAATTTCAATTCAGTCGATATTTTTATTCATTAAGTCATTTTAATTTTGGTATTATTACCAGTCCTTTTTAACAAACTGTTTAAATTGGATTGGCTTAGATTGAAGTACTGAGCTAAAAATCAAAGTGCTGGCCAAATATGAGTCTTGTCAGAGATATGATATCGCACGGCATTTAATCATTAAACACAATAATTAATACAAATTAATTACTTAACATAATAAAGTACATATTTGCTTAAAATCTACGGTTAAGGTTCAAATATTTTTTAATTAACTAGTCACATACACTTCAGATAACAACTTTTATATTCAGATAACAATCGTTTTTATATTCTCGTCACCTATTATAATTCTATTTAATCAGAAGCCATGAAAATATCATTAAAAGATTAATATAAAACACCGATTTACCGATTACGATGAATGACATTATACGGTCATCAGCACGTCAGATCCTAAGCTGTTCTGTTTTAAGCTTTATTGCGATGAAAGTAAAGTTCAAAACACTTTGTTGTATAGTGGATACCTTATGTGGATACCTTTCTATAGCTTAAACCCGCCATTTGTATCAACAGCATGCAGCGGAATCCCAGAGGTGATAGATAAATCTATATTTCTCGCTCTTGCAAATGGTGGTTCTGAGTTACAAAAAATAGGGCGTCATAAAAAGACGATACTACGCCACCAAATGTACTCAAATATATATATATTAAAGATTACCTCAATTTAAAGGATAAAAGAAGGGTACATTTAATCAAAAATAATTTACTTATATAGTACTGTCGCCGAAAAAAGAGAATTTCGTACATATAATTATAATATTTACAAAATAAGAACTCCCTTTTGACACTTCAAAAACAAGACAGAACATAACGTTATACGTGATCCACATTACATAATGGGAAATAAATTATTATGAAGCAAATTGATAAATAAGATGACATATTTTAAAATAAAAGCGTTACTTAGGAGTACAAAACAGTATTCAAGTATTATTATTATTGAGAAAATTATAAATAACTTACTTTTTTTTATACTACTTAACGTTCCAAAACCACGTGCTCGATCCTTTTTTTTTTAAAACAGTGTCGTGGCAAAGTTGATCGCGTATTTTCTAATATGTTATTTTTAAGTTTAAATCGGAAAAATTACATACGTTATTAATATTAATGCTTTCAATATGTTTTGTGTATGAAACTTAGGTGCTAATATACCTATCATCAAATTTGAGTTCAAGTCATTTACCGTACGCTGCATAAATACTTATTTAAAAATAATAAAAACAGATAAAAAAATGATAATTAATAAAATTATGTTTTTAGTTATTTGCGAATAATAAAAAAACAACTTTAGTCATCGTTTGCCCTATATCAAGAAATAAATTGTTATTATAGATCAAATGAAATAAGAAAATGTAACGATCGAGGTTTTTACCTTAAAGTCGATGGTATTAAAATAAAAATGCTACAGTTTTGATTCTAATATAAAAATCAATACAATGATAATTGAGCTGACATTGGACAGTATTTTTTAAAATATTTTGCATATTTTTATGTTTGTTTACATTACACTGCTGGGAATTTGCAATACCTACTTGTATGCAGTATTTTAACTTATTGTATTTCATTAGTTTTGCATTCGGATATGGGACTCGAAACCCATGACCTTTCGCAATCTGGGTGTCTGTCAGATATCAGAGTGCCAGGGACAAAGTGGATTTTTCAAGCATTTTTCATTAAAAGTATTTCGTCTGTCAAAAAATGTAACATTTGATTATTTTTACTTGTGTTGTTCAACTGAATCAATATGACTGTTCTTGGGCATATCCAGGACCCATCATTTACTTAGCACCTAAACTTATTTATAAAGGCAAATATTAACATTATCAAGTATTTGCTTCAATGAATAAAGATTTGTATTGAATCTTTTCGAATAATCTTGTTATTGAATTTAGTCATATTTCAAAATGGACAAGCGATTTCTTTCTTCTAGCGATTAAACAAAAAAAAGAAAATCATGCACGGACGACTTGTGTGTCGTGCGTGCATGATTTGTCAAATCGATATCTCATTTTATAATCAATAATAATCGGAAATCTGTTATCGAATTTGTTTGTAAGCGTCACTATTAACAGTCCGATGATAGGTGTCAAAAGGGACCTTTTATTTTGTAAAGACTTGGGGGAATTTTGTTCTGGTAAATAAAGTAAACCATATAAGGCATAAAGGTCAATGTCCGACATTCTCTCTACAGACTACAGTCGTGTGCAGGTAAATGTATGTAAAAAAGTCTAATAGCCGTGGTTGGCAGCACTACGTTTTGATACCTTCTGTATACTTATTATGGGTTTTTCTTATCAATAGGTTGGAAGTACAGCACCGGTTTCATTAACGAAGATATGATCCGGGATCATCTGTTCCCTCCAGGAGAAGATGTTATTACACTTATGTGCGGACCACCTCCCATGATCAATTTCGCCTGCAATCCTGCCTTAGATAAACTGGGATACCAAGAGTATCTGCGCTTTGCTTATTAATAGAAAATAAACAATTCCTAGCGGTATGTAGCAATCGTAATAATCAATATTTTTTATTATTATAGATACTTTTCAATATAAAAGATAAGGGATCAGTTTTTTTTTATGAAAATTGTCTGCAATCATATTGTATGCATTTACACAAATCTGTTCATTATAAGTCGTACTGTTACTATTGCCAATGTGAGATGATAATGTTTGATAATGTGAGGTGTTTACTGTTAGTTGAATAGAAGCAATAGATTTAGTGATGTTGCATGTTATTGTGTATTATTCTAAATAAATTATTTTATTTTTGTAAGTGTGATTATTTATATCCCGTATCAGATTCGTAAATATTGCTATTGCCGTCTTCGAGATCCATCTTTAGCGTTCATATTCTTCTAACCGAATATAAAATATCACCAGATAAAATACAGTGTGTTGTAAATATAATATTTTTAAAGCATATGGTTATAAAATAACAGAAAAACAGTGTTGTTTTTTAAATTTAGGTAGGTATTTATCTTGTAAAAACAATTCCTACACTTTAAAATGCACTAACTAACTATGCTACCTATAGCATGTATGAATTCATTGCTCACTGTCTCACTCACCTGATTGACATGCTAACGATAACGTGAGTTCATGTTTCGCTCACGCTATAGTTGATACCCATAGTTGTATCTTGCTTGCTCGGGGAATACCGTATAAGTGTGTGAGTGAGTTACATACGTAATTTTATCAGTACCATTTCTGGTCAATGAAACAAAACTTATTATAAACCAAAAATAGCAAAAATCTAGAAAATAAGTCTAAAATCGATAAATATAGAGTAAGATTGAAACAGAATTAAAACTTCAACAACCTTAAATATTATTAGTCGATCAAAAGTTTGAAAAAGATTGCTCCAACCCAAATAGAAAAGAAGTTTAATAGAAAACTCATTACCCAAGATTATTATTTATTGAATCGATAATCTACTTAAGACGAATGAAAGTTAAAATAAATCATCGCTATCAATTGATTGGATTGGTTCGATACCCATGGGAAATTTATTAAATGTAGACCGCAATATAGAATATATAAATAACTCCCAAAAAATACACCATACATTATTTTGATTGTGCTGCGTAAACACGTTTTAAAATCATGAAAAACAAAGTTGGGGGCTTGGACACGCTGTCCGCCGATATTATGAACGAAGATTTTATCAAAGTTTTCAAGCCGATTCATTTCATGCAAAGATTGCTAGGTTTTCAACGAGTAATTGTGAAACACGGATTTGTTACCGCACCGACGGCAATTTATAAATATTACAGCTGTGCTGTATGGATTTTGACTATCGCATGCCTCGCTTATACATCACTCGGATGCAATTCCAGATTTCATTCGAGCGATTTCAATATACACATGCAATGGGGATTGTTTATTGAAGGCTTTCTGAACACAGTTATAGCATGGCAAAATAATTTCTGTAATGCTAATTTGAATAGTCAAATTTACGTGAAGTTACAAAAGATTGATCGAGAACTTAGCATTGGTATTGAAAAACAATTGAATAATAAACTTTTTAAGCTATCGTCTATCCTCGTTTCAGCAATTTCTATAATGAATGTCGCGTGGACAATTTACAACGCTTCTATGCTGCAGAGCGGCACATGCCCGACTGTTTACATTGCAATGTTTAGTTTAACTTCTAACTGTACGGAGATGATTTTAGTATTTGTAATGCTATTTTTCATAATACTACGAGTAGATTACATTAATCGTTTCCTGCAAAGTAAATTGTCAGAGGCCTTTGATGGAACAGGATATAATTCAAAAAATGACGTCACAATTTCTCAATACGGAAAATTGCATTCAATTGTATGCAGCGTTCACTGCGTTCTTGATGTTTTAGATAATATTGTCATACTTTTTCGTTTCTCGGTAAGATATTTTTAATTTTAGTGTTTGTTTTAATATTCAAATAGTCGATTTAATCTAAATTTCCGTTAATTTCTGTGTATTTTTTACAGTTTCTCATATTCAAGTAGCTATTTTTGCTTTATGTGTATCTGTGGTACCTTCTTGCCTAATAATTAACTTCTTACAAAAATAAACGAAAGACTGTCAATTAAATATATATGTAATTGAATCGACAAAAGTATCACTTTATTATATTTCTTCGCCCCAGCTGAAATGCACTCATTTGGTGAAGCATCACTCGGTCGGATTTTCGGTAAAGCCGAAAATTCTCTATGTTTATTACAAGACTAATTGTTATTTTAGATATTCGTATTCGTTACTCAAATGTTGATTTGGATTTTGACCTTCATTCAAGGCATCATATTCACAATCAAACAAGAGGTAAGTAATATACATGTTGCATTATAATGTTAAATATGAGCACACCGAGGCTGCTACCATAATTTAAAAATTTATTTAGAAATATTAGTCTCTACCCTTCGTAAAAATCAGTAAAATTCTGTTTCAGATGTCAGTGAATAGATACCTTGTGAGCTTTTCTCTACCAGTATCGATATGGTTAAGTTTAATCATAATTGTACTATCTTACTCTGCAGGATATTTATCCTCGCAACTGCATTCTATAAAAAGAAAATGTTTAAACATAAAATCAACGTTGAATGACGGTGAGATAATAACATTGTGTATTTTTTCCTTATACAAATGTAGTCTCTAAACCTTGTCTGTTTGTTTGTAGTGGTAATCTTCGGAAATACTCATCTGATCATAAAAATTCCTTCCTTCATGAATACACGGGTGTCAGAAGTTATAATTAACGCCACCGAAGTCGCGAGAAAACAGCTAGTTAGATATCTTCCTCATGTTTCATTTTAATTAATCAATCCCCAATAGATAACCTAAAAGCGTTTTAAATGGCCTATTTATCGGTCCAATCTACAAAATGAGTTCTATAATTACAAATCGATAGTCATTCCATATTGGACGATCAATTAATCCCTTTATAGCATTAAATTTAACAAAGACTAAAAAGTTTCTTTATTTCTGTGGATGTTAATATATAGCTTAACTTATCTACGTCCACACATTTGAAGTTATATAACTAATGTTCATTTGACAAAATATTTAAAAAAAAAACACGAAAGTTCAACAGGTGATTATAAACAAACTGACTATTATTTATTCTTTTTAATGTCATTCAGAAACTAGAAATTCGTATTAACGTAGGTAATTAAGTTATAGCTTCAATGAAATTTAATAATATCACTGATAATGTTAATTAATACGTGTACCTACACCTCTTACTCATTTTTTTGTTTCAGGTTTATTAAGAAGACTCGCTAAAGAATTACTAATAGTTTCTTTTGAAGAAAAGTGTGTTTTTTCAATTTATGGCATTTTCGATTTAAATTATCGGACCCCCTTGCTCTTGTTAGCCTTAGTTGCGACTTATACCATTGTCTTGCTCCAATTTAATACAATATAGATACGATTTATATAAATCAAAAACGATGTTAACTCCCAACAATCGATCACAGAATTGTTCAAAGGGATGCTTGTTACGAGTATTTTCGTGGTTTCACAGAATACAATTTATTTTGGGTTCGTGTAGAGTTAAAGTAGTAAACGGGACCGACTTGATACGCCCTTCTGTGTACCAAGCTATTTACACTGTTATAATATATTCTTGTACACTACTCTTATATATCAGTGTCGACAGATTTTATTTAGTAAAATATCGCGAACGCGATCTTAATATGTATCTATGTGGTATAGGCGTAATATTGATACATTTTCTCGCTTACTCCTGTAACTTGTTTTACGTGAGATTTATGAACTATAATGAAAACATTAATTTTTATAAGAAGCTAGATCATATTGATGTTATCATGAAAATAAATAATATTCAACCCCTACACGAAATATTACGTAAAATCAGTAATACTATAGTAGCTATATTATTAACAATATTGATAATACTATGCGTTGCGTCATTCTCGGCAATATGCCTTGAAAGTTCTTATGGAGTGACTGTGACAGGAGTCTCGGTATCATTCAGCGAAGTAACGTTTCTTCTAGAAGTGTTCCACTGCTCGAATCTCGTCGTTTTCTTTTCTATTCGAATGCGTTTTGTCAATGGTATAATCGCAAATCATTTGAAAATCAAATGTTGCGATTCAGATGTGGAATTCCAATTATTATACAGCAAAAAAATTATATGGAGAATAGCCGCGCAAAGTCACGACTTCAGCACTAGTGACACGGATGTGCATTTGAGAGAGTTGATTGACGGACTTTCAAAATTTCAACGCTTCTGTGGGTTCCAGGTGAATTATGTTTACAAAGTTATTATCTTTTGAATATTTATATATGTACCAACAGTCGACATCATATGCATTAATTTGTTATGAACGGACATTGCGTAAAATATTTTAAGTAGGATCTTGAATTTTCATCTATTCCTTTCCCACCCATTTTTCCCATTATTTTGACTAAGCCCTAAACAATTATTGAGGCTGTTAGCACAAAAGTGGCCTAACTCATTATATCAATTACAATTTATTTAAAACTTAATTAATTATGCAAATTGGCCTATCCCTATTTTCGCATGCAAAACCGGATCTATTTCAACATAATGATGGGCTGGTTTTGGATCATAATATAGAAATTACAATAGATAAATATGAAAAATTGTGGGTTAAGCCACATGCACTGATGTGTCCATCGCGTCGCGTATAAGCCTGCCATGAACAAGATTATGTACTTATGCTAATTATTTATTATTGTAGATGTTCCTGTTTTGCAGCAAATGCATGATTGGTTCTATTATCTATTTTCAATTATTGATTACTGGAATACGAATCAATGTAAGTCGAAAAGAAATCGACTAAGTATTTTATATCTATGGATGAATGCAAACAGTGGAAAAAATTAATAAAAAAATAATTTTTATTTTTCCGAATTTCCAGATGATGGGTTATTTAGAAATGCTTAGTATCGGATCATTTGTGGCATATTCTAGCGCGGTTGCATTTTTTATTTGTATACGAGGCGAAATATTTTTCAACGATGCAAAAGAAACCAAGACACTATGTGTAGCTGTATTGTCTTCTTACAACGATGGTACGTGTTATAATAAAACAAATATAAAAAATCTGTTTATCAATAATTCATTAAAAAGTCCCACACGGCAGGTGTGCTATTCGTCAATATCTGTAATGTCCCTGAGGTCCCGGGTTCGATTCCCGGACGGGAAAATAAACTTTTTTATATTGCCTCCGAGTGGTGAGTTTTACGTTAACACGTTCACTAGTGAGCTATCTACGTAGATTTTATTTTTTATGCAATTCTTTTTTTCTATTTAAAATGGGCAAACCCTTTCATTTCGCAACATGTACTTAGGTTGGTAACTATTTAAAAAAATATTTCAGGAGAACTAAGAGAAAAGGCCATGCGTATGCTGAAAACACTGCACAGTTGTCCATTTCAGCTCTCCGTGTATGGCATGTGGAATATGGACGCACGTTTGCTACTGAAGATGTTTTACGTCACAACCATGTTTATGGTTACCCAACTCCAGTTTACGATACTTTAGAAACACATAACATGCCGCTTAAAATTCTTCAGATTTTCGGTCTGTTGCACAAACGTCCATTAAGGTTTAATGATGCCTTTAACCTCTCATGAATGTTAAAATCGTCATTAAACTATAACCTCTAATTAAATTTGTATCGGTAATGTCTCGTTAAACTAATGACTAATGACATTTTAATGAACGTTTGTACAACTGGCTGACTATCATTTTTATTTTTTATGATATCCCTACTATATATTGTAATAGGCACATAACCGATATTTGTAATAAACCTATAGTCATGGGCGTTCCCAAGCTGTTTAAATTAGGTACCTATGGCATTTTGAATTCTACATATTATATATTTATCAAATTTCCTTACTTCTGCCCCACCCCTAAGTTAACGCCGGCTGCGCTCATCCCTTCATTACAGATTGTTCAATACTTAGATTCAGTATTTGTTTTTGCAAAGAAAAAATCGGTTCTTTATAATAAATTAAAGAAATAAAATATAAATTCGTGTTATACCTAATTAATTTTAAGATTTAGCACTTATTTACAACTTGTAATGCTTGCTTATGCACACGCAGAGTGTACCCACAGGATTCCAGAGCATTGTAGACTTTTTGATTAAATAAGTGATTGTTGGGTGTCCTTTCACAGTTTTCAAATTTAATCATTTTTCTTTTGGGTACCTATCAAATGTTGCGCTGAAACATAGTTTATTTTTAATCTCTTTTCAAGAAGTAGTCAGTAAGTGTATCTACCTAGATGTTTTTGTAAACTTACACCACATAATTTGTTTAAAGTACCTAATTGTTATTCTGTACGAATAAATAAAATTAACTATTATATACCTCTTTTAATACAATGACGCCAATTTGATTGCCGACCGCTTAACTAAATATAGGTAACTCTCAATAGAATACGACATCTTAATGAATATTAGGTATGACGACATTTTGTCTCATTCAACTAATTTGAGATCTATTTCAATGGATAAATGACTATGGATAAGTTGGAAATTTCAAAATTCTTGTTTGATCGTTCTTCGTTATTAAAATACATATTTAAGTAACATGAAACGAAATGGCGCCTAAAATGTAGGGGAGATCTAGGAGAGTTGACACAGAGGTGAGTTGACACAGAGGTGAGTTGTGACAAGGGGAGTGGTCTTTGATTTTGTTGATTTTTTCAGAAACTAATATACTTTAATTAATTTTGGTGATGGTTTTGAAAACAATAATTCACATGAGTTATAACTGAGGAATGTTTCGTAAGCGAGATATAGCCCCTTATTTCAAAATTGTCACAACTCCCCTAGGTCTCCCCTATCTGTCCTATGACTAAAGTCGTAGATGGAGGAGTTAGGCTGTTACTCCGCAGGAGCTTCTTAATATATTCAATGCAAAACGAAATCTACTCAATAACGAACGAATGAATGATAAAAAATATGATTATAGATTTGACAACAATGTCAGCCAGTTGCACAAACGTCCATCTAATTTTTATTAGTTTAAAGCAACTTAACCCATACAAATATGACATTCATAAGCGCTTAAAGACGTCATTAAATCTTAATGGATGTTTGTGCAACTGACCGTTTATCATGTAGATTATCCAACTAAGGACATGTCTCATCATTATCATCATCATCATCAGCCCTTTTTTACGTCCCCACTGCAGGGGCTCAGGCCTTCCTTATGGATGGTTAAGGAGTATTGGCCATGACCCTCTACGCTGGCCCAATGCGGATTGGAGGGTATTAACGACTGCAAATGCAGCCTGGACCAACGGCTTAACGTGCCTTCCGAAGCACGGAAAAGCTCGAGATAATAATTTTTTGGTCCATCCCGTGACCGACCCTTGAGAGAATTGCTTAACGACAACGATCGCGGGCCGCGGCACATATCCATTACGCCACCGAGCTACTCTAGGACATGTCTGTCTATGTAGTAAAATTAAACGAAATATCGCTTAGACAGCATATTCTATGGCTTAACTTTTAAGCGTTTGCACCTTTGTTTTAGGAAAATCAATATATTGAAAATAATATCAAAAACAATAATGATTATTTACAGACCGATTGGTTTTCTGAATTAAAAAAACATCATAGAAATAGGTAGTAGAAATTGGAAGTTTTATTATTTTAATGGCTACCTGAAATCATTATTGGAAAATGTGAACGCTAATTTATAAAACAGCAGTAAAGAAAATATATCAAAAGTTTTCCAATTAAGTTAATTTGAGATTGTATAGTGACTATATGATTAAGTAATTTTCAACAATCCATTTACGCTTATGGCCAGAAAGTCAATAGTATAGTTTAAAGAAACTCTCGAAGTGACGTTCTGTTTGTTCATAATAACATATAGTCAGTAGATCAATTGTTCCACTAAATTGTATCGATTACCCATTTATTTAATTATGGTGTACATTAAAAGTATTCATTCATTCATTCATCAAATGCAAATTCATTTATTCAACACGAATGTTTAAACGATACAATAAAAAACATACAAAAGAAAGAAAAGAAATAATGTCCCATGCCTGTGTCAAAAGGACATCTAATAGCATCGAGTTCAACATTTGTCAGTGACACTGACGCTTATTTTTTAACTAGAACCTTTCCTTTTTTGACACACGAATGCCACACAGTACAGACTTAGCATACACGCAAATGACACATATGAAAGTGACAAGACGGTTCATGTTAATAAGAGATATAAGATCAATCTTTAAATATTTTGATCTATTTTTATGTTCTGAACTTTTAAAATAACTTGAATTTGCTAAACAAACATAAAGTTTCATGAGTAGACATACATATAACGATATAATAACTCTGATTTTGTTTTCAGATTTAATATCAGAAGAAATTGTTTATACTCGGGTACTTAGAAAAAAAAATACAACTATCTGAACACAGAACAAACGATTACAAGTAATCTATATAAAAAATACAATTAACATCATTATAGACGTAGCAAACATGTTTTCTCAAAAATCGTGTACGAAACATAGTCTAAAAGGAGAGTTGTTGAATCTATTTTTGTTTATAAATTTATTAAAAATCGTCTTAGGAGCAAGTAGAATTAATATTAAAGACAATTTTCTATATGCACCTAGCATGTATCAAAAAATCTACAGCATATTTCTAGCGTCAATGGTAACATATCTATATGTAAGTGTCGATGAGATACAATTAGCTAGATACAATGAATACGATATCAATATGTATCGGTTATGTATATGCATAGTTATAATAAATTCCCTTGCTTACATTTGTAATTTATTTCACGTTAGATTTTTAAACAATGAATCTTATATCAAATTTTGTATGACAATTCAAGAGATTCACCATTGTTTAGGGTATTAAGTGTCGGACCCTATTTATGTTATCAGAAGGTAAATAAGAAAACACGTTCACTCTGTAACTCCGTATATTAGCGACTAGTTAAAAAGTCTTTGTTCTACAGACGTCAGACGCTAACAAATTGTTTATAAACATCTTACAACTAAACTGTACATGTACATGTAGGCATATGTGTCCCTACAGTACTCCCCCTCTTACAATAAAAAATAAAAGTACACATCACATATTGTAAGAAATGTAAAAGAACAGTACAATAAAGAACAATAAAAATAAAATAAACAATTTTTAAATAAATGACAAGTAATTAAAGTGTTTGCCATATAAAATAATATGTAATATAAAACATTTAATTTTTATCGAATACAAATTCTTACTTATTAGTAAACAAATTAAATTAATTTACATGTTTCCTATTAAAAGCTTATTACTAAACAAAATTACTGTTTAATAGTATCTAAATCCTAACCAATCTAAAATTATATTTATTATACTCTACAAATACATGTTGAATATGGAATTGAACCTATAATTTCCACAACCACTAAACCTAATATTCTCTATGCTACTTATTCACTACTATTCACGTATCGTATCGATTTGTTTACATTAACAAATGAGTAATATTTACATTAACAAATTGTGGGAACGCGGCGATCTTGTAAGCTGAGTACAAAAATTGGTTGACAAAAGCTCTTTGTTTAAATCAGTACCCACTGTTATTATTTCTAGAGCTATATCGATGAAATTGAAATCTTGAGAACAGAACTACCTATTATTTAATTTACAAATACTTCCGCTTGCTTCGTATTTCGTATACTGTAGCGTTACCATGAGTTTACAATGACCGTACTCGCTAGCGACTGCGTAAATGATTTGTATGGAGAACTATACAGCGCTCCTAGCGGTCACTTGGGAAACTAAAGATTGCTAGTATGAGTCCTATAGTAAATTTACCTATCGAAAGCCAATCGCTAGCGACTAACGTTTTTTACGTTTCGTAGCTTATCCCATAGAACATCGGTACCATGAGTTACAAATTTGATAAACGTCATCGAGAAATACCGTAGCGACTGTAGTTAACTCTCTCACTTGCAAAACGTAGCGTGAAAACTTATTACTCTTTTTAGAGTATTGTTTAATAGATTATTTTCAGTTATTATTGACCCAAATAATGTCAACTAGGCATTATCTTGCGTGGAATATGTTATCATAAGCTGCATATGAAGACAAACGACGAGAACAGAGAAAATTTGAAGCGGATATGAGAAATATTAGTGAGAATAATTTTATCAAAGAATATGGCTTAATAAGGAGTGTTTTGAACATTGGTGACTCTTCCGTGTGGTCCTTCAGTGGGTTTACTAAGGTCACCATTTCTGTTAAAACATTAAAAAGGGATACGTGATATGGATAACAACGAAAATAAATAAATGAATGTAACCGGGTTAGATCTGATAGCATTGGATTAGGTTGTATATTCTTACTATATTTAAAAAATTTCATAAACTGCGTCTATTTTAAAAGTTTTATGTTTGATAAATAACAAAAAACAATGTATTATATTATTAAAGTCCCGCGTTAAATTTACCTTAACCAAATAAAGAGCACTCAGCATTCCTTAACTTTATCTGAACACTTAAACAAATATTTCATCTAAAAAACTGGAGGACTACATTTTACTGTACAAAGTATATCCTACGTATTAAATAATATAATAGAAACGTATTGAAGTTCATTCCTTTCCATATACTCAACCAATAACTGTATTTGTGATACACTAGTCCGCATTTAATGTTTAGGTATTATACACAATTTACCAAAACAACCGCCAGTTAAGAAACAGAAATACTCAATGATTTGTCTCAACACGGAAATAACCGAATAAATTCAATAATCAGTTACACTTCGCGTTATGAGACTGATCAATGACGCTTAAAATTAGTAGGGT